ATTCTTTAGACTTAAACCCTACTTGGAGGCCCTTTTGACTTAGTAAGTAGGGTTAGTAAGGTGGGTTATGGGGATTATAATGGGGTTTCTAGGGGATACCAAGTAGACTTAACTAAGCCAAAAGGGCCTCCAAGTAAACCCTAAATCCCTAAATTTCCTAAAACACTAAACCCTAAACCTTAAGCCCGAGTCGTTAAGCAGACAGAGGCGTCCGCTTCCTTAGATGCCCTGGGCCGCCTGGCGGACGTTGAGCTCCTTGGGAAGGCCGAGAAACTGTACTTTTCGGTTCCTTGAGCCTTGGTTCCCACATCCCAAATCCTGGCTCCTAAATTCTAAACATGGTTCTTAAATCCTAAACCCTGGACCCTAAATCCCAAACCCTTGGTCCTAGATCCTAAACCCTGGACCCTAAATCCCAAACCCTGGGTCCTAGATCCTTAACCCTGGATCCTAAATCCTAACACGGTTCCCAAATCAGGTCCTAAATCCTAACCCCTGGCTCCTAACTCAAGCTTGGGGGAGCCTCGCCATCGGTCAGCATAGTGTAGGGGCCTTAGTAATTAGAATAGGGTTTTGGGGCCCATTATACTGTAACTATAATAAGGAACACTCAAAAGAGTATAGGTAACTATTAAGGCATATACATATATATATATATATATATATTATAGAACCCTACTATAGATTCCTTTATAGACCCCCTGAAGGAACCTTTACTAGGATGCCCAGTAGTACCCTTATTCCCTTTTTGTAGTCCTAGGTTCCTTATAAAGTTACCCAATACCAAAAAGAGAGGCCTCTTTATTCTTAGGTTACTGGGTATCCTAGTTTATAAAGGGAAGCCGAAGATCCCGAAGCTGAGCGCAGGAGCATGCTGGGAGCTCACTTCCAGATCTTGCAGGGAGCCCATTTCGCACACAACTTCTGCTTCTTTAGGGTCTTCAAGGGGTTTCAGGGTTTAGGGTTGAGGGTTCAAGGGTTTAGGGTTTTAGAGTTTAGGGTTAGGGTTTAGGGTCTCTTTCTCACTATATGGTAACAAACCGTAATCAAATGCAGAGACAGGATGGTGCTTAGAATTTACTTTGAAGTGTCGGGGACAGGAGTTAGGACCCAGGGCTTCGGGCGAAATTTCTTTTAAGGCTACATGGCATACGCAACAATGCAAAGATAACCCTAAACCCTAAACCCGAAACCCAAAACTCTAAGGTTCAGCCTAAGCTGATGATACGATTTTCATCAAGTTTCTTCAAGAACAGCGAAGTTCTGCTGCTTCCGTCTCAGACTCTATACCCTAAATTCTATGCCCCCACGCCCCCCCCCCCGCCTAAATAGCACGACACCCGGTAGAACAAAATCCAAATGTAGGAACCGGAAGAAATACTAATATTGTTCATTAGCATTCCGGAATAGGTTCATACTACAGAATAGCACCGTACTCCTAAGTAATGAGGGCCCTCTATTACACCCCAGTCCTGAGGTCGGCATAATTAGTAACACCATCCTCCTTATAGCGGCTCCTTTCGGGGTTTGTGGCGGTCTACAGGATTTGGTGAGGGGTTCAGGAATGGTTATAGAATTCATTGCAGTCCTTCATATATTACACGTAGTCAGATACACTCGTCCTAGTGTCACCATGACTGCGACGCCCGACGACGGCGAGGACGTTAAGCACGAGTTTAGCGACTGCACACCTCCGCCGATCGCAGGAGTTGGGCCACACAGCACTCGCGGTTTCATATAAAGATTACTTGGAGGATCATGGGACTTAGTAAGTACGGTTCTAAGTACCTTAATTGGAGTTATAAGTAATTATAAGTGCAGTTACCCTATTTAAATGCCCACTTACGAAGTCCCATGATCCGTTAAGTAGACCCTAAACGCTAAACCCTATAGATCCACTTCAGGAACCCTATAGATCCCTTTAAGGATCCGTTTAAGTACTATGACCCTAAGGATGACGCGGTGCGGATGAAGGCTTCACTTGTGGCGGATTTCGGGGAAGGGACGAGTCTTGTGAAGGACCTTCGGTGGACAACGGCTTCTAGACCTGGTTACGGTAATTTTAGACTAGGATGCCCAGTACTACCCTTATTCCCTTTTTGTAGTCCTAGGTTCCTTATAAAGTTATGGGTTCCTTAAAGGGACTATAAGGGTTCCATATATGGCTTAAGGGTTTAGTCTTATGGGTTCCTAGGACCCAGAGTAGGCCCTTATTCCCTTTTTGTAGGGTTCAGATTCCCTTATAAGCCCCTTTAAACCAAAAAGGACACCCTTTGTATTCCTAGGCTACTCTTGGGTCTAGACCTGGTTACGGTAGTTTTAGATAAAGTACCTGTGCTAGAGTTGTCATACGGTTGATGATATAAACTTCTGCATTACCTTAAGGACCCTAAACTATGGGAACTATGGTATTTTCCGTATTATGGATAATGCAGGATTTATATCATCAACCGTAGTCACCCAAAATCCGTAGCCCGAAAACCCTTCAGGCCAGCAGGAAACACTCCGCAAAGAAGCAACGTAAGCCATCAGCGCCGAGAAGCTCCAAAAGCGAAAACCGGAAAGCACTTACCTTAACCCCAAGTAACCTACCTTTTTAAGGACTTATATAAAGAAATCATATCAGGGACCCCTAAAAAGGGAGGTTTCTTAGGGTCCAGGCAAGCACTGACAAACTCTCCGGAAGTCTAAAGCTCCCAAATCCCAAAGCCTAGACTTAGGGGTACTTAGAAATGATTTTTTTAAATTTTTGGTTATTATAATCCCTAAGAAACAGCCCAAATTATAATTTTTGCTAGGGTTCTCAGTTCAGTATAGTAGAATGCTAAAGCCTACCTATAGTCTCCATTGTAGTTCCTTTTTTGGGGTTACTTTTTAGGATCCAAAATATAAAATTGGTGAAGCCAAAAAAGGAACTACAATGGAGACTATAGGTAGAGCCCCAAAACATATACCCTGAACCCTAATAAACAGTCAACCCCAAACCTAAACCCTGACGCAAAAGCTTACCTTTTTTGGCGTCTCCTCACCGACTTTGCTCAGAGCTGCGACGTTTCACCTGTGGCTAGGCATGCAAGCGAGTCAGAAGATTAGATCTGGTCTTGCTAATGTCAAGATCGCGGCACACCGGCTTGAAATGCAGCTAAAACAATACGGCAATCACCTCGCATCTAACCCACGGACATTGAACCCGCAGAAAGGGTCAGTCAGCCAGTCTTCCGTACGAGTTTGGCATTCTCAATAGACACTATTGTTTCTTCTGAGCCTATAATGCTTCCACGAATCACTTCATCACCGCAACTCACCAAGTTCCAAACCTCACGTTTCTACAACAGCGGCATGGCAGTGAAAGCCTGGCAGAAATAGGCTTGTGATTCTCGCGGCCTGGCACAAATGTGCACTTAAAGGATCATGGGACTTAGTAAGTGGGGTTATAAAATTATACTTATAACCCCAATTAAGGCACTTATAATCTTACTTACTAAGACCCATGATCCTCCAAGTACAGGCTGTGGCTACCTTGTAACTGCTCGATTTTGTTTGATGGGGTTGGAGCTGTTTCTAGGGTGTCGGCTTTGTTGTGTTGCGCCTACTTGAAAGAACAGTGGGCTTAGTAGGTTGCTGCTAGGGTTTTAGTTCACACTCTAAGCATTGCAGCACGTGCAAGTTGACCTAAAGAACCCGAAACCGCAATCCCCGACCCCCAGACCAACCCCCGACCCTAAAACTCAAACACGAAACCCTAATGGCTAAGCCAAACCCATGTCTCTGAGGGCGCTGACATTGGGATCCTTATTGAAGTCCGTGCTAGGGAGCATGGTAGGTTTAAGGCTTGGGGCTTCAGGGGTTTAGGCTTTAGCGTTTTCGAAACTGTCACACTTTAAATTAAAGCCCCAAACTCTAAACAGTTGAACCCTAAAGCCTTAAACTCTAAACTGCTCAACCCCAACGCCCTGAACCTTGGACCCCAAGCTAAACCCCTAAATCCTAAATTGGGAAAGGAAAGGAGAATCTGATCGGCTGCAGTGACACGTGCCGCCTTCCCGAGACTGGCTTTCCGTTCGGGGCCCTCGGGCAGGCCGCAGATCCCTGCCGCCGAGAGTGCCCACAGGAGCAATTACCGAACCAGCTACAGATCGCGCTCGCCTGTGGCGCATGGCGACCGGAAGTCGATCGTCGGTGGCTCTTGAGGCTGCCGTGGCCGTGGATGCCAACCTGGTGGAGGTCCCTGGTGAGGTCCCTGCATCTGCCTCTGTGCCTCCATCATCGGGTCCATCGGCATCGGCATAGGCCGCCCGGCCCCCCCGGGGCCCCGGCCCCCCGGTTTCCCGGCCCGGCCGGAGACTGGAGTTGGATTTGGTGGATTTGGGGTCAAGGGCCTGTAGGGGGCCTGGCCACGGTTTAGGGTTTAGGATTTAAGGTTTAGGGTTTGGGGTTTAGGGTTTAAGGTTTAGGGTTTCGGGTTTAGGGTCTAGGGTGCCCAGAGCCCGCCAAAAGGCCACGGGGAGGGCCCCAAGTTGTCCGGAGTGCCTGAAGCAGAATAGCAAGGAATGGTCCATTGAGATCAGCACGCACAGTGGCTAAACCCTTAGCCCAAAACTCCAAAACCGAGTGCCTTGAACTCCAACCGAAATCCCTGGCCCGAAAGGCCTTTAAATACAAGCCTTGCGCCCCAGAGGATGACGTGTAAGGATACCCGAAGACTGTAACCGTTTCTGGTTTTATTGCTAGTGTCATTTATGTTCAGCCGCATGTGACCATCTCACCAAGGCGCACCATCATGATGACCCGTAAAACCCGAACTCATCGAACAACCCTAGATAAGGATACTTCTATCATGTATCCTACACTGGTCCTGCACGCTAAACCCTAAATCCCTAAACCCCGAAGCACTAAACCTAAATATCGAAATCCCAAACCCTACAGCCCGCAACCCCAAAATCTAAGGCCCTAAACCCCTAAGCCCCAGACCCTGGACCCTGGGCCCTCAAAGGCGAGCCATGATGATGCAACCGCAGATGATGCAGCCGGTAGGCTTCGACCCTAATGCGGCCTACTGGCAAGGCAGGGGTGTGCTCTCTTCTATAGTCACCTGAGGAATTATTTTTGTTCATATACAACCCTAAACCCTAAACCCTAAACCCTAAACCCTTATATAACCCAAAAGGATTTTAAAACGATCATTTTTACTGTGGTCCTAAGGGCGGTATAGTCTTTGTGGGTTTCCACGGGTTTTAGGGCGTAGAGACACAAAGAGGGGCTTGTAAGGTCAAGTAACTGTAAGGATTCCTCAAATGGGTTCTGTAAGAGCTCTGGGGTTTAGTTGGTTTTAGGCTCTGAGTCTGTAGGGTTCTTACTTGGGAGGGTCGGGGGACTTAGTAAGTAGGTAGTAAGTAGACTTATAAGTAGCCTAAAAGGGACCCTACAGTAATTGGGGTTATGGTACTTATAAGTCCCTAACATAACTGGTTACTAAGTCCCCCGACCCTCCAAGAACTCTAAACCCTAAACCTTAAACCCTATACCCTTATAGAATCCCTATAGATCCCTTTCAAGGAACCCCTTATAGTTACTAAGTCCCCCGACCCTCCAAGTAGGGTTTGGGGCTTCATGGCTGAAGGGCTCTGGTGATTTTTAGGACGTCGTGGGACGGGGGCGGGGTGGGCTGGGGTGGGTGGGGTGGGGTGGGGTGGGTTGGGTTTAGGGTTTAGGATTTAGGGTTTAGGGTTTGGGGTTTAGGGTTTAGGGTGGTTGGGGTAGCACCGTGGAGTCAGCACACAGATGGATGACTCACAGTCGCTTCCGGATCATGAATGAGATTTACTTGGTTCTTGTGAGGGTGGCTTACTCGTCTCGTCTGCACTAGACGTTCCAGATTCCCCCGGGCAGCTGGAAAAAGGCAAACAAAAACAACCTTTAAGGGCTGAAAGGAATCCTTAACCCTAGGGATCGAAATCGCCCAGAAGCCTTATATAATATGGTCTTTGGGCCGAAAAGCCTTAATACATGAGTCCTTAGATCCCTAGGGTAAGAGACTCGATGGGACGAGGCATGGCCCTTGCGCAGCAGCAGAGCGCATGGCCCCTCGGTGTCAATGCGTAGAAGTAGAAAAGCCCGAGATCTCCTTTAGGTTGCTTGGAGGCCCTTTTGACTTAGTAAGTAGGGTTAGTAAGGTGGGTTATGGGGATTATAACAGGGTTTCTAGGGGATACTAAGTAGACTTGCTAAGTCAACAGGGCCTCCAAGCTTTCAGGTTGGGGGGTTCAGAAAGTGGCCAAAAAAGTTACCTATACTATTTTGGGAGTTCCTTAATGTTGTTACAGAGAGGGAAACCCGTTAGGCCCCCGCATTCCTGTTTTAAGTCTCCCAAAGCATATTGAGGATTTGAGGGCTTTGGGATTTTGGGTTTAGGATTCTAGGGCTTTCGGGTTTTACGGTTTAAGATTTAGGAATTATACAGGACATTGTTTTTTCGCGGTGTTGGGAGTAGGAATTCGGAGTGTAGGGTGTTTAGGGTTTAGCGTTTAAGGATGTAGAGGTTTAGGGGTTTAGGATTTAGGGGCTTTGGTGTCTTGAGGTTTAGGGTTGTCTGGCGGTGAAAGGGCCTAATTTTAGCAGTCTAGGGGTTCTAAGGCAAGTTTAGTGGGGTTTCGGGATTTAAGGGCTTGGTTCGTTTATGTTTGTTGCTGTATATGTATATGTATATGTATATGTATGTGTATATGTATATGTACATTCATATGTATATGTATATGTATATGTATATGCATAGGTATATGTATATGTATATGTATATGCATATGCATATGTATATGTATATGTATATGTATATGTATATGTATATGTATATGTATATGTATATGTACATGTACATGTACATGTACATGTACATGTACATGTAGATGTAGATGTAGATGTAGATGTATACGTGTATGTGTATGTGTATGTGTATGTATATGTATATGTATATGTATATGTATATGTATGTGTATGTGTATGTGTATGTGTATGTATATGTATATGTATAGGTATATGTATATGTATACGTATATGTGTATGCGTAAGTGTATGTGTATGTGTATGTCTATGTGTATGTGTATGTCTATGTCTATGTCTATGTCTATGTCTATGTCTATGTCTATGTATATGTATATGTATATGTAGATGCAGATGTAGATGTAGATGTAGATGTAGATGTGGATGTGGATGTGGATGTGGATGTAGATGTAGATGTAGATGTTTATGTATATTTATATGTATAGTATGTATCTGTATATGTACATATGTAAATGTGTATGTATACGTAAATATGCACTCCCTGAGCTAAAACCTATACCCTCATCCCTAAACCGTGTGCTGGACTTCCACAACGTCTACGGTAGCATTAATCTCACCTAGTGTATGCTCGTATGAGCAGGAAGCCATGCGAAGACCACTACACAGAAAAAACAAGTGAGAAAGGCGGGATTGTAGTTTGCATGCAGGTCGAGACCCTGCAGGCGCTTGCATTTTAGGGGTTTGGGGTTTCGGCTTAGGGGTAAGGGGTTCTTGTTAAGGAACTTCATGTAGGGTTCTTGTACGGCTTCTCTTAGGGTTCTGTAAGGGTTTAGGATTAAGGAATTTGGTTCATGGTAGCTGAGTAGGTCACCTTTGACCTTTTGGGGTTTAGATAATCCTACCGTAGTGGGGCTATGGTAGTCATCCCTTAAGCCTTAAACCCTAAAACCCCAAAAACCCTTAAACCCCTAACCCCCTAAAGCCCTAAACCCCCTTAAACCCCTAAGCCCCTTTTTTGGGGCTAGGGTACTCAGCCCTTAAGCAGGGTTCTCGGGCTTCTGGGGGTTTAAGGCTTTAGCGGTTTAGGGTTTAGTTGTGCTTGCCCTGTTTCCGGGGCATCGGGTTTTGGTGCTTGGGATGTGGATCAAAAGCCTGCAAAATGGTGGGTTTGGGCACGTCAAGGACCCAACCTTTCCTGCTCTTAACCCCCAAACCCTGACCGCTGATACCGGCCCCTCTGAGGATCCAGCCTCCTGCGCCGGTGTCACCCCAGGTGCTCGGCTTCTATTTTTGGGCAGTGCTTTTGAAGGGCTTTCGCAGGGTTTGAGGGGTAGTGGTTTAAGGGGTTTGCTTTTTGGTCTTGAGTGGGGTTTGGGGCTTTCAGGAGTTTGGCTTCAGGGTTTTGGGTCGGGTGCGGGCAGCGTTTAGGGTTAAGGGCCTCATATGCTTTGGCTGCAGAGTTTTATGGGGATGTTTAGATAAGGTTGTGTTTTCGCGGTTTCGGGTTCGGGTGAAGGGCGCCCATGGAAGAGAACGGTTTCTGCAATTGTAACCAGGGTAGCTGTATGCTTGGGGTTGTTGTGAGCCGGAAGTTTTTTTCAGTTTAGGCTTCAGGGGTTTTGGGGTTTGGGCCGGTTTGGATCTAGGCTTCCGGGTTTAGCGATTTAGGGTTCAGGGGTCCGGGGTCTTAGGGTTTGCAGAAACCCCTATCCGCCCTAAAGCCGAGGTGCCTTGGGGGCAGCCGGATCCTTATGGGTGGGCCCAAGCACAGGACACCACGAAGAAGGGTTCAGATTTTGAGGGTTTTAGGGTTGAGGGTTTAGGGGGTTTAGGGTTTAGGATGTCTAGAGGATTGGTTTAGGACTCAGAGTGTTGGGCTCAGGGTTTGGAACTTTGTTTGTATACCAAAGTTCGTTCTTGTAAGATGTTTAGGAAAAATGTGATCTACAAGGACTCGCAAGGGGTCTTATAGGAATACATATGTATATAGTATATATGTATCAGGGTTTAGCTTTACGGCTTGGGGCTTAGGTCTTTGGGTTTAAGTTTAGGCTCTAGTGCCTCTGTGGCCTTTGTTCGTTTATTTGCTGTAAGGTTTGCGGTTAAGGTTAATTTTTCTTACTAGCTGGGTAGGTATCCTTCCATTTTCGGGGTTTGTACAATCCTAGCATGGATCAAAGTAAAAGGTTAACGATTTTCAGTGTCAAGAATCTCAGCAACTAGGTCTTCTCGGGTTTACACTTACGGGAAGACGCAACTAATTATTTCGACTATGGGTTCGGGCAAGTGTCGCTTGATTTATCAATATCTAGGATGCCCAGTAGTACCCTTATTCCCTTTTTGTAGTCCTAGGTTCCTTATAAAGTTACCCAATACCAAAAAGAGAGGCCTTTTTATTCTTAGGTTACTGAGTATCCTAGATATACAGGACCCTAGACTCGAAGCCCCATGTTTCTCTCTAAACCTCCGGAATCCAACAACAGAAATTGCAAAGCGCAGGAGAAGGCCTTGCACCCCGCCCGCAAATCCTTACGAGCCATACGGGGTCAAGGGTTTAGGGTGCAGGATTTAGGGTTCAGGGTTTAATAGCCTTGTGCTTGACACTTCATTAAAACCCCGAGGCACCAGACCAGATCTAGAATCTAGAAGGACTCCGAGACCCTAGACGAATGGACCGGAATGTTTGGGAATGTTCCAATAAAGTTTTTCTATAGCAATCGATTCCAAAACCCTGTTCTAGTTATCCAGGCCCCCTATAACACCCCCCGCAAATTCCAAGCCTTGACAGTCACCCTAAACACTAGACCCTAAACCCTTAACCTGAACCCTACCCCCTCGCTTCTAGTATCCGCAGGAGATGTCGCCGTATGGCGCGTCGTACCCATCCTTTGGCATGGATGCTGCAGCTCGAGAAGTTTCAGCTCATTTTTTTGCGTGAGTTACGGGTTTCGGCTTGTTTCTTGCAAGGATTACTCCAAAGCGGGTTCTAAAAGGGTTTCCCGAAGGGGATATAGGGTTTGGGATTTTAACCTTTGGGGTTTAGGTTTCGAGGTTTGGGGTTTGCGCGTTTGGCGCTTTGGGTTCTAGGGTTTGGGGTCGGATTTTTGGGCTTCAGGAGTTGCAAGCTCTACTGTAGGCCCTAGGTAACTTTTACGCAGCTTGCAAGTAGGCTTGCAATTGTTGCAAGCCCAATCAAGGCAATGAAGGATGGGCTGGACATTGGGGTGATTGTTCTAATAGCGTGACTTTGTTACCTTCGGGGGGCTGGAGGCTAGCCGGGTTGTAGTATCCTCTCCAGAACAATGTTTCAGAATCAGGTTAAGGAGATTTCCGTATCATAAGCAGCACCCACTTATGATGACCATGGTCCCAAATCCCATACTCGCCTATCAATGAAACGCGAGCTCTGGATTGAACCCTTTTTACTTTAATCGTCACCCCTTAAAGCAAAACGCTAGTCAGCTAATCCATAATTCCTACACGCTAGCCCTAAAGTCTTAACTAAATTCGCCTTGAAACATAGAACTTCTCAAACCCGCAGGCAGGGGAGTTCATGCAGATGCTGGGCATCGACCCGTCAGAGGAGCGACCATGTCGAGGGGTTTTATGGTTCAGTTGGGGGGTTTGTAAGGCCAAAGTTCATTCAGCGCTAACCCCTAAAGCCGCAAACCCCTAAACCCTAGTAAAACTCAACCCCCAAACCAGGTGTTGTTGTAACATGGAGTTCGGAACAAACACGCTTAAAGTCCCTGCACAGTTATGAGAGAATCCACGCCTCATAGTAATTTTGTAATGCTTTTGTCCTTCCCCAAAAGTGTTTTGTAATTCCTAAGGCCCCTATATAAATCAACACACATAACATTCCTATAGGGATCCCTGTACACTAAAGAAAATCTTCAAAAGGAGCACCCTAAACCCTAAACACCTTGAGTTAAAGCCCTAAGCCCTTAAACCCCTAAACCCTAAAGCATTATTCCTAAATCCCGAAAACTCTTTGGGATTTCCGTTCCGTCAATCCGATTCCTGAAACAAAAGAGCCGCCCCAAGAGTCCCACAACCCGGTTGACCCTCCAAGGGTTCAGGGTTTAGGGTTTGAGTTCTTGTCTCCACACTTCGTCTGCTTCTTGTCTCCACACTTCGTCAAGCGAATGTGGGGATTACCGGGCGGTGGTAAAGGCCCGATGCAAAAAAGGGTTTGAGTTCTGCGGTTTAGGGTATCTTCATTTGTTTCCTAGTCTCAGGTCAAATCCTTGAAGCTACAACCTGTTGAACGTTCACGTTATAGCCACTGTCAGGGACGCCTAAACTGTACACCGCGCCTTGTTTCAAGCCAGGACGTCTACTTCGGCTGGATCGCAGAGTATGGCTTGCAGAGTGAGGCGCAGCATGTGTTCTTCAGCATCTTTTGCGTTACAAGCAAATGCTCAGCGTTTTCAGAGTCCTGTGCTGTACAACTTGGGGGTTGTGTGAGAGTTCTGTTTTGTTTCCTTGTGAGTGTTTAAAGCCTGAAGATTTAGGATTGAGGGTTTAGGGACCCGGCCTTCCGCAATTCTTAGGTGACCTTCATGCACCGTTTTGGTTTTGTGCATTCCCTTGCGTATGTATGTATGCATGCATGTACGGACGTAGGCATGTATGTATGTATGTATGTATGTTTGTATGTAAGTACGTATGTATGTATGTATGCATGTATGTATGTACATATGAATTTATGTATTACATATGTTCATCCGAAAAGTTATCCTTCAGATCGTATAGGAAAGTAAAGCCCGTAGCCCTGAACCCTCAAGGACCTAGCCTCACACGACGATGGATAGGATCATGGGACTTAGGAAGCAAGGTTATGAGTATGCTAAGCAGGGTTAGAAGTAACTGTAGGTATATAGTTGCCTCATTGATAACTCACCGTGGAGTGCTTCGTTAAAGGGGGGGTCTACGAGAGCGACAGCCACAGAACCCACTTCTTAAAGACCCTATAGCCTTGTGAAGGATCATGGGTAACTCTGCTTCTCAGCGGTTTAGGGTACTTACCCTCTTTGGATTTACGGTAGGATTTAGGGTTTAGGGTAGGGTTGGTTTAGGGACCATGGGTAGGAGTTCGAGTTGTTTTTAGGTCTTATCTGCAGCTTTGGTTCCTCATCAACCTCTGCAGCTTCTCGAAATTCCCTTCTCACCGTTCACTTGAACCCTGAGCCCCAATGCTGTCAAGCCTGCCTGAACGATCAATGACCTACCTTCGTCGGGCTCCGTACTGCAGTTTCCTTGCAGTTAGAAGGCACTCAAAAAACTCGGATGCCCCCAGTACTACCCTTATTTGTCCTAGGTTCCTTGTAAAGTTACCCAATACCAACATTGGAGCCCTTTGTATTCCTAGGTTACTGGGCATCCTAGAAGAGGTATGGTTTTCAGGGTTTGGTGCGGTCCCTACGCCCTTCGCTCTAAGCCGCAAGCCCCGAACGAAGCCCACGAGCAGGCGCTGCCGCCGCGCTGGGCCAGTGGCGTGGCTCCGTGGCCCCAAAACAGCGGCACACCATCTAGGGTTAATATAAGGGGCCTGGCTGGTCAAGTTCTGCAAGGGCTGTTGCAGTGTAGCTTAATTTGCGTCCAGGTATTGGGGGTTTAAATAGGCTATTTGGGTTTGGATTTTGATGTTGCTGATGTAGGCTTGAACCTTGTCTTAGCCCATGAGAAAAGTTTAATCTTACTGACTTCTTAGTTATTAAGGCCACTATTGTAGGCCCCATTTGCAAACTTGGGTGAGAAAGAGCATGCAACATGCTCTCTCCTGCAATCGGCACAAACATCTACCTGTACTATTTTGGGGGTTCCTTATTGTAGTTACAGTTAGTATAGTATAGTATAGTATACCCCGAAACCCTGTTGAAACTATTAAGGCCCCTATATTAGGTCAGTGTTGCCGTGTTCGGGAAGAGACCCGGGAAAGATCCCTTTTGATTCGCTAAGCTGTCGCTCAGTAGGGAATGAGGGAATGGATCCCTATAGTAGTCCCTATATAATCCCCATTAATAGTCTCCATAAGAACCAGACAGTAACTGCCAGCCAATCAGAGAAGACAGGCGATTGTTTTCATTGACTGGGCTTTGGAGTACCCTACTTTAATACTTTTTCTTTAAGGAACCATTTCGGAATAAAAGTCTATACTTTTTTTATCCCTAGTTACTTAACTTACCTTTGGTTAGTAGGGAATGGAAGAATGGTAGTAATAGTAGTTATAATTGTACCCCATTCCTCCATTCCCTACTAACCAAAGGTAAGTTAAAAGCCCAGTTGAGAATGAAGATTTCAGGCTGAAAGCCTAAAGTCTTCCGTGTTCGGCCCTTGGGATGCTAGGCAAGCGTGAGCTACATACATATGGGCGGTTGTCAAAATTAGGGTCCCTTTTTGGGTCCCTAATATAGTGCGGCACCTAATATTCAGGGTACCCAGAAAGGGGCCGTATTTTTGACAACTACCCATATGCAGTTGCACCTTATCCTACGGCCTAATCCCTCAGCCGCTAAAACCCAACTTGAAGGATCACGGGACCTAGTAAGTAAGGTTGTAAACTAGGTAACTAGACTTATAATTACGTATAACCCGAAATAAGGTACTTCTAACCTTCCTTGCTTAGTCCCATGACCCTTTAAACTCAACTTTTCAACTTTGGGGGTTCTTGTAAGGTAGGCGATTCTGAAAATTTCAACTTTTAGTTTCTTGGGTTTTGGGCCAGTGAGTTGATAAGTACACAGCGATGCATCCCGCAAATGCCACGAAAGCCAACGAGCGTTCAGACTACGGCTCGTGGTATGTGGGAGTTTCCGAAAATCAGGCGGTACCTTGGTTCCTAAAAGGGATCGATAAGGGTAACCTTCAAGGGATCCTTTAAGGGTTTCTGAAAGAGATCTGTAAGGGTTCTATAACGGGTTTAGGGTTGGGAGTTTCTGTAAATCAGCGGTTGCCTTATTTTGGGGTCCTTATAATAAGGATCCTACTATTTATGGTCTTATATTAGCTTCCCCCATTTTCGGAAACTCCCATGTACCTTTACTTGGTTGACCTGTAGCATCCTTCTCTTTTCCTGGGAAAAGTTGGGGTAGGCCTGCAAAATTGAAGACCTAGGGAAAAAGGTACGCTGTAATTGCTATAAGGGGTTGCTGGGGAGCCTAGTTTAAGTTTATGTTTGGTGTGGTTTACAAGTGCGTCGAAGCATGGGCCTGGTGGGAAAGTTCGGAAGCTTGAACCTCCACACCCCTAAGCCCTAAAGCCAGCAGCACATCCTGATGGAGGTTCTGGTAAAAGTCGGCCTTGCGTAGTAGCCGCTGAGCAACCTGGAGCTCTCTTACGGCTTGCTGCTCCCAGGAGAGCGGAACCTGGTGTCCGAAGCGAAAAGTGCCTTGAGGATGACCCCGAAAAGTGGAGGAACCTGCTCGCCATAGAGCTTGTTATTGTGCTGACCTGCGGGACTGGTGGTATCACCTTCTCAGCTTGCATGCGCAGAGGTCCTCGGCACGGTTTGGCTTAAACTGGAGCACGAACAGGCTTCACCAGCTGTTTGAGGAATATATGATGCAGGGCGGGATTGGGGAGAATCCGGGATGTTTGCCGTTCATATGTGGTCGGAGTCCACAACGACGACCAGAACTTGGAGATGGATGACCCGCCGAGTTGCCATTATCCGAACTAACCTTGCAGCCAAACATCTCTAGTCATTTAGACTCATCAGGTTCAGGTCAGGAAAAGAAGTAGCAGTCGTCGCCAACATTAAGGCTTGCAGTGGCGATGAGAAATGAAAAGAAAAAGTACTGGTTCAGTTGCTCGTAAACGGTTCATTATCCGTCACGTCTTCAAACGACAAGAGGAAAAGACGTGCAATTCCTAGGCAAATGTTGGTTTGGGAATCTAGGGCCGGCTGCTAAACCCTGAACCCCAAACCCCAGCCGATGGGGGGCTTTGCGGGGCGGCGGAAATCAATCTCTGTGTGTTGTCCAGCATACAAGATTAAACCCTTGCAGCCCTACAACACGTCACCCATGACGTTCTTCTCCCTAAGCCCTGGAAATGGTGCGTCAACATAATTAGATCAAAAACCCCCAACCCTAAACTTCAAAACCCTAAACTCTGGAAGTCTATACCTGACCCCCCAACCCTAAAAGCCATAAGCCCATCCTAAACCCGAAGCCCTTAACCCCATAACCCTAATCTTGAGAACCCCTTGACCCGAAAACCCCCAAAGCCCTAAGCCCTGAAACCCTAAAGCCCTAAACCCTAAAACCTTATAGGATCCCCTAAAATTGGGAACTGGTTTAGGAACCCTTAAAAAGGATAAAGCTAACCCCCCCCGCTCGTGCCAGCCTAGGATGCTCAGACCGGTCGTGGGGGCCTCTGCCATCATCACGTTTTGTTTGAATTAAAGAGCCCTAAGGGTTTAGGGCTTTAGGGTTTAGGGTTTTACTTTAGGGTTTAGGGCTTCTGCCATCATCACGCTTTGTTTAAAGGCTTTAGGGTTTAGGGCATTAGGGTTTAGGGCTTTAGGGCTTTAGGGCTTAGGGTTTAGGGGCTTTAGGGTTTAGGGCTTTAGGGCTTTAGGGGCTTTAGGGTTTAGGGGCTTTAGGGTTTAGGGCTGTAGGGTTTAGGGCTTTAGGGTTTAGGGCTTTAGGGGCTTTAGGGCTTTAGGGTTTAAGGGCTTTACGGGCTTTAGGGCTTTAGGGTTTAGGGCTTTAGGGTTTAGGGTTTAGGGTTTTAGGGCTTTAGGGTTTCGCGGCTTTAGGGGCTTTAGGGCTTTAGGGTTTAGGGCTTCAGGCTTTAGGGTTTAGGGCTTTAGGGCTTTAGGGGCTTTAGGGCTTTAGGGGCTTTAGGGCTTTAGGGCTTTAGGGTTTAGGGTTTAGGGCTTTAGGGCTTTAGGGGCTTTAGGGCTTTAGGGTTTTGGGGCTTTAGGGTTTAGGGCTTTAGGGTTTAGGGTTTAGGGGTTTAGGGCTTTAGGGTTTAGGGGCTTTAGGGTTTAGGGCTTTAGGGCTCTAGGGGCTTTAGGTCTTTAGGGTTTGGGGCTTAGGGCTCATGGGTTTACGGTTCAAGGGCTCAGGGGTTTAAGGGTTCAGGGCTGTAACGTTGAAGAGTGGAGGGTTGAGGGTTTAGGGAATCACTGTGAGTGTGTGTAGGGCTCCTTCGGAAGATTGTCTCGGACCCAGAGTAGGCCCTTATTCCCTTTTTGTAGGGTTCAGATTCCCTTATAAGCCCCTTTAAACCAAAAAGGGCACCCTTTTTATTCCTAGCTTACTCTTGGGTCTAGTTTATCATGGGGAGACTAGGGGCCTGAACCCTAAACCCCAAGGGGTGGCTTCGTTTAGGGTTTAGGGTTTTGGGTTTAGGGTTTAGGGTGGTCGGCTCGGTCTTGCAGAACGTATCCCCTCAGCCATCGGGCTAGTAGTGTAACACGACGCAGCAAGTGCCCGGAAATAGTCCCTCCCCATTGCAAAGATTGGTTAGGAATGTGCCTGCCGCAAATGTCTGCTTGAGATTCGAAAGCTCTTGTGCCGTGACTAATTTTCTGGCATTGAGCTGTCAACCAGAAGGAGCCAGGTTTTCTAGGATGCCCAGTAGTACCCTTATTCCCTTTTTGTAGTCCTAGGTTCCTTCTAAAGTTACCCAGTACCAAAAAGGGAGGCCTTTTTATTCTTAGGTTACTGGGTATCCTAGTTTTAGGTTTAGGGTTTAGGGTAGGATGGTGCGAGTTTAAGGTTTTAACTTAGAGGCGTTTGTAGGCCTTATAGTGCTTGGTCTTGAGGGTTTAGGGTGTGAAGGGTAAACCCTAAACCCCTCCGGGTCAGGGTTCAGGGTGTTGGGGTTTACTGCAGCATTTCGTCGGCATGGGTTCTTTACAGATCGGATCATAGCGGGGACTTTGTTTTAGGGTGTCTGTGATGCCCGAAATTTCTGCAGCGTGATGTGCTGCACGTGTTTTCTTACAGGCTTGGAGTTTAGGGGGTGTGTTTGTAGTCTTCTGGAGCCTTAAGCTTGCAAAACAATTCAGCCCATTCCCCACACGTTACCGTTTATGGGACGCTAAGGGTGTACAGGGTTTAGTGGCCTAGCGTTTGCGTCTTTAAGGGCCCGAACTAAGGCGTCCCCCTCTTAAATTAGGCCTCTGGGGAAACCAGGACGACTAGCAGTAGTGCAAACTTGTTGCTGTTCTGTATTCTAAGTTCATAGGAGGCCAAAAGGGGTTTGAGCCTATGGGGGTTTAGTAGGGATTAGGGTTCCCATAATCGGGTTCATACTAAGGAATCCCTACCCCAGGAATCTTAAACCCCCCTTTTGGCCTCCCATCATAAGTTCTAGTAGATTCCCTACCAGCCAGACCTTCCCATGGAATGCTTTATATATACGTAGAGGTAGGTGGTTGTCAAAATTAGGGTCCCTTTTTGGGTCCCTATTATAATACGGCACCTAATATTCTTTAAGGTACCCAAAAAGGGGACCCCAATTTTGACAACTACCCACATCGTGCTCAAGGCATCTACTATGTCAACACAGACGATGGCACCAGCCTTTTGTCTGAAATGGGCGTTTCGCTTGGTCCAACTTTGTTGGTGAGGATCATGACGATAGTGCCGATCGAATGGTGACGATGAAGATGATGATGATGATGACGGCATGGCTGCTGACATATGTGAAAGCTGTCATGCGATCACCATATGTTTACAGCTGTGACGATTGTCGTCATTTCTCAGGAAGTAGTATCACAAGCATTTCCTTAACTTCAACAGTTGACATTTCTCTCGAGCGTATTGAAGCAAGCTTGAAAAATCTCCGACTCGTCATGGAAAGTTGAGTGATTCGTCACGGGGTGTAGTTGTTGAGCGCTTCAAGAATTAGACATGTGTCATTCAGGGTTTTGGGTTGAGGCTCAAGCCCTCTGACAGATACATGAGAAAACTCCCAGAATTCATTTTCAACTGTTTTGATCACACGCAAAATCTGTGGAAAAGCTCCGCAACTCTTTCAAAAACGGAAGATTTAATCCGCTTAATACCCCTTGATGCAGAGGTCTGAAGATTCAGCAACAATATCCCTTCTAGCCCCTCTATATCTCTATAACTAAACGGAAATGTACCCCAATAGCCATAAACATCACTGACCAAAGCTAACCTAAACCTTCAACTTCAGCAAACGGTTGTGAAGCTAAGCCATAAACCCTAAACCCATCAATCCCTAAACCTCCACATCCCTCAGGTCTATGCCCAGGTCTTACAATGTGCCCCAACAGTGCGAAACCTTTCAAATTACGCAAGAATCTACCCTGAAACCCTTTTCCGATCATCAAGGCTCTTACTTGGAGGCCCTTTTGACTTAGTAACTAGGGTTAGTAAGGTGGGTTATGGGGATTATAATGGGGTTTCTAGGGGATACTAAGTAGACTTACTAAGTCAAAAGGGCCTCCAAGTAGGTCTTAGATTACCCCAACCACTCCCTAGATTATTATAGTTATGGCAGAGTATACCCCCCGACCCAATTCTCGTTATTAGGGCTCTTATATACGATCCCGACAACCCTGCGCCCCCAAAACTCTTAACCCCTAAACCTCCAACCTAAACCTTTGAACCTCAACCGCTTATGATTAAAGCCCTTGCATTCGCCCGAACAGCCTTAAACCGACGACCGTTTCAAGCACAGACTGAAACAGTTTCAAACTCTCAATCCCTGACAAAAACCGAAACGCCAAACTTCGCAAAAACATGTCCCAAGCCCCAAACCCGAAATCTTACAGTAAGCCTTAAACCCTGAACTTTTTTCAATAAAGGCCCTCAAGCCTTGAAAACGAAGCACGACGCCGAGGCACTTGGGAGAATCCGCTCTGCAACGCCCTGCGCACGGTCATCGACATCGGCCGCTTCTACTTGCAGGCGAGGGTGAGATACGTTTTAGATCATTTCAGGGTCTTATTTGGTTAGCGGGTTTGCGGCGGGTTTGGGGTAGTTTGGGGGGGGTGGTTTAGGGTGTCAGGCGCAGTGTTTATTACTATAGACCAGCTGCCAGACCGCACGAAACGAGCCACAATCAGGGTTTTGGTTGGAGCGTGAATCGGGCGTTGGGTTGTAATGTCCCCAGACCTTCCCAAATCCCTTAATTGTGGAATATACCTTAAATTATATTGGGACCCCTAATATGAATTGCCGTATATTCCCTAATTGCGGGATTTTGGAAGGTCTGGGTCGTGCTGGAGTTCAAGATCGGCAGGGAAGTGCCCACAATTCTCCACCTCAAGCCTAAATACTCAACCTGGAAGCCCTAAAACCCTAAACCCTGAAGCCGCAACCCTAATATAGAAGCCGAAGTAGTTAATTAATTATCAACATGATTATCATGATTCCTTAGGGTTCCTTATCATGATGATAGTACAAAGAGGCCCAGAACCCTATTCTGATTATTAAGGCCCCTGCATTAGACGCCAAACCCACAACACCAAACCTCAAGAAACCCTGAACAGAACCGACCCCTAAACCCTAAACCCTTTAGAGTTCTCGGACCCAGAGTAGGCCCTTATTCCCTTTTTGTAGGGTTCAGATTCCCTTATAAGCCCCTTTAAACCAAAAAGGGCACCCTTTTTATTCCTAGGTTACTCTTGGGTCTAGAGTTTAGGGCACTTGAACCCACGATCTGCACCTCCTCGGGCCTCCTGCTCTTGGCACTACCTGTAGCCCAAAAGACCTACTTTGACGAGAACTATATATAGAAACCATAATACGGAACCCCCAAAAGGTAGGTCTTTTCGGCTATAGGTACCTTAGCCTACCGAAACCGACTTTTTTTGTAGGATCTGGGTGGATACACTTCACCCTTTTGGAATAATATTAGCCACTATAAAACCGAAAGTCTACACCTTCTGGGGCTCATGAACTCAGCAACAAAGTTTAGTAGGATCCCTATGAATTCCGCATGGGGTTTCTAGAAGGAAGCTACGATAAAGTCGGCGATCGTGGCTTAAGGTGTATGTTAACTCCCTGTAGCTACTTGGAGGACCTTGGGACTTAGTAAGTATTGTTATAGCAGTTATAAGTATAGTTACCTTAGGTATAACCCCACTTGCTAAGTCCATGCTCCTCTCAGTAGATGTTAATTCCCTTTAAAGCGGCAAGCCCCTCAGACCTCAGAAAACCTCCTGAAATGCTTAAAATGTAGGAGCCTCAATAAATAGAATAGGGTTTTGGTGGTGTATGGCACTATGCTTATAATACGCAACTCCCAAAATAGTCTTTGTAATTCTTTACGCCCCTATATTAGCTGCAAAGTCGCAAAAAGCAACGTAGAACATCCTTCGAAAGCACCACCGATCCCCTATGATGACCTCGGAAAATCCTACAAACCCTACTTGGAGGATCATGGGACCCAGTAAGTAAGGTTACAAGTGCTGGAGTTACAGGTACCTATAAGCATCGTTGCCTTATTTATAACCCCACTTCCTAAGTCCCATGATCCTTCAAGTAACTTACCTTAAACCCTAAACCCCAAAACCCTATAGACCCCTTTAAGAAAACTCTATAGATCCCTTTAAGGAGCCCTTTAAAGGAACCCTAACTCCTAACCTTACTAAGTCCCGTGATCCTTCAAGTAAGCTTTACCTTAAGCCCAGACAACCTGCCCAAATCAGGAATTACAATCCTAACTAGCAACCCTAAACATGCAGGTTTCTTGGGGTCCCGGTATACCCTACCTTAACCTACCAAAACCTATGTACTATTTTGTAGGGTCCCTATCAATTCCATTTTAGGGTTTATAATAAGAACCTACAAAAAGGTAGGGTTTGGTAGTTTAAGGTAAACCCGGCTTCTTCAACCTCATCGCGCTAGGCTCCGGGCGATGGCGTCTTCGAAGAGCAGCACCTTGGCTTGGCCGTGTGGTTTCGAGGTTTCGGATAGGGGGGTCCACAGCTGTTCAGTGTTGAAATTTGTAATTAAACGGGTTTGTTTTGTTTTTTTGGGGACATACAGCGGGCTTTCGGCATTTGGGGGGCGGGGGGGGGGGTTGTGGTTTTCCGTTGAGGGCTTACGGTTCGAGGTTCCTTGAACGGTTCCTGGATGGATTCTACAAGGGTTCCTCCGAGGACGGTTCTTTTACTAGGACCTAGAATAGGCCCTTATTCCCTTTTTTGAGGGTTCAGGTTCCCTTATAAGCCCCTTTAAACCAAAAAGGGCACTCTTTTTTTTCCTAGGCTACTCTTGGGTCTAGTTTAGGGGTTCACAAGGTTTATGCTTGATACTTCACGGCTGTGGTTCAACATTCCATGTTCTTTTGTGTTGTCTCGTGTGTTTGTGACGGTCAACAGGGGGTGACGGTGACCATTCTCAAAGCAACATGATTGATCACCCACAAACATACATGCAAATCGTAGTACTCAATTTGCAACTACCACAATTATCCACAAACAAGTAAGGTGCAAGCTACGATGGCAGCGCTTGCTGCATACCCGAAACCCGGAGCATTAATTAAACCCCCTCACCCAAAACCCTTCAACCCCTGACCACTAACTCCGAAATCTTTATCCCTGAAATCCTAAACTTCCAAGCCCCAAGCCGTAGGGAACCTTCGAATCAATGGAACCCTTGAAGGAACCTTTAACGGACGCCTCAGCGCAAGTCCCCCTAAACCGAAAACCCTAAATCCCAAACCCCTAAACCCTGAACCCTGAACCCTAAACCCTGGACCACAAAGCCGTAACCCCTAAACCCTAAACCCCCAAGCCCTAACCCTAAGGGTCCAAGTGCCTAATAATCATATACTCTCCAAAATATTGAGCTACATAACTACTATCCTAAACCCAAGTACCTAACTGTTGGGTCCTTTAGACCCTTAGGGCAAGCTCCAAAACCCAAAACCAACCCCGCACACCCCCGGGGCCCCCCTGGGAGCGCCCTGCAATCAACGGTTGAAACCATGGGCCCCTAGTATGGGCCCTTAACCCTGGAATCCTCATATGGGTGGTTGTCAAATTACGATCCCTTTTTGGGCGCCCTAAATATTAGGTGCCGTACTATATTAGGGAAGCAAAAAAGGGACCACAATTTTGACAACCACCCATATGACTATATACTCTATACAGACCCTAAACCCTAAACCCTAAACCCTAAACCCTAAACCCTAAACCCTAAACCCTAAACCCTAAACCCTAAACTCTTCAGGGCCCCTAGAACTCCCTCAATAAGGCCGAAGGGTCCATATTAAGGGTTCCTTTAAATCAAAGGGGAAAAGGAGGGACCCTTAATGGGGACCCCTATACCCTATAATGGGCTATACAATGGGTATATAATGGCTATATTAAGGGTATATTACCTAGGGGTCCTTATTAAAGGAAACTCCAGAAAGTTGGAATATGGATTAATGGTAGGAGCCCCTATAATTTACCTGATAGGGGTTACGATAATGATATTCCAACTTTCTGGCTTCTACTGTAAATGCAAGGAAGATGCAGCTCTGGCAGCAGCACAAGCTGGATCTCGAGGTCCGGTTTGGGGTTTAGGGTTTACCTGGACCCTAAGGAACCTGCCTTTTGGGGGTTCCCTAATATGACTTCTTTATATAAGTCTTTAAAAAGTTAGGTTACTTGGGGTTAAGGTAGGGTTTAAGGTTTAGGGTTGTTCAGGGTTTAGTTTGGGTTAAGGCTTTAGGGTTGAGGGTTTAGGGCAGGGCTCCTTGAAAGGGCTCCTTCAAGGGTTCTTTTAGGGATTTAGGATTTTAAATGGGCTCCTTAGAGGGTTCCTCTAAGGGTTCCTTCGAAGGGCTCCTTAAAGCGTTCCTTTAGGGTTTGGGGATTCTAGTTTTAAGGGCTTAGGGGCTTAAGGTTTAGAGCTCTAGGCTTTGAGGCTTTTGGGATTTAGGGTTAGGGTTCAGTGATTTAGGGTTTGGGCTTGAGAGGTTTTGGGGTTTTGAGGATTTGGGGCTTTAGAGGCTTTCCAGTAAAGCTTTTTTTGCGATGGGGTTGACTAGGATCCCCAGTAGTACCCTTATTCCCTTTTTGTAGTCCTAGGTTCCTTATAAAGTTACCCAATACCAAAAAGAGAGGCCTTTTTATTCTTAGGTTACTGGGTATCCTAGTTTGAAGTAAGTTCTGATTTTCCAGGTGTTTGTCTTTAGAAGGGTTCCTGTGGTTCTTGAAGGCCTCCTCTGCTTCAGGGCGTTTCTACAACTTGGAGGCCCTTTTGACTTAGTAAGTAGGGTTAGTAAGGTGGGTTACGGGGACTGTAATAGGGTTTCTAGGGGATACTAAGTAGACTTACTAAGTCAAAAGGGCCTTCAAGTATGGACGATCCATATTGATCCTGAGGCCTTCTCTGCTTCAAAGCTGGGGCCTTCATACCCCAAACCCGAAGCATTTAATCTCAATAGTAACCCCTCGCCGTGAGCGTTTAGGGTTTAGCTTGTAGGCACCCCTGAATTCTGAACCCCCAGAGGTTGCAGGTACTTTGGACCTTCACAACCCTGCAGCCGTGTGCTTAGGGTTTAGGGGTTAGGGGTTTAGGTGGCACTTATAGTTTTTAAGTGGTTCAGGATTTAAGGCAGCTGTTGTGCCATTGACAGAAAGGGGTCGAATCCCCTACCCAGACATGCCAAAGCCCTTAGCTCAGGAAAGTGTATTCTACAGAATCACGATGAGAGGCTTTACTTGCATTAAAGGAAGTTCCTCAATGACGGGGTAAGTTGGGATCTCTGTGTCCTTACACCCAGACCCTGAACCTAGTACCCCAAATCCCAAGCCCCGTATAGGAACATGAAGGAGCCCTTGAAGGAACCGTAGACTAGACGTTCAGTGCTATGCCCCGTATAGGAACATGAAGGAACCCTTTAAGGCACCGTAGACCTTCAGTGCCCCTAAACCCTAAACCCCTAAACCCTAAACCCTAAACCCCTAAACCCTAAACCCTAAACCCCTAAACCCTAAACCCTAACCCCCTAAACCACAAACCCTAAAAAGGAACCGTAGACGTTCAGTGCTATGCCCTGCCAGGGATGGCATGGGCCCCACGTGGACGAAGAGGGTCGAGAGTTTCCTGGCTGCCCGGAGTCGGAGGATTTCGGTTGTTTAGGGTTCAGGGTTTGGGGTTTAGGGTTTAGGGTTGTTTGGGGTTTAGGGTTTAGGGTTGTTAAGGGTTTGTGGTTCAGGGTTTAGGGTGGTTTAGGGTTTGCGGTTTAGGGTTAGGGTTTAGCGTTGTTTGGGGTTTAGGGCTTAAGGCTTAGGGTTTAGGGTTTCGGTTTATACGGTTTTGGTAGGGTTCCTTAAAAACGGGGTCCAGCCTATTCTACAAACTTTCTAGTGTTCCTGAATCGATCCTCGTTGCGATGTCGGGCGGATGATAAGCTTAGATTGTGCGCCTTGCAAGACTTCCCAACACTAGTGATTGAACCCGCTAGTGAGAATCGTCACTAGAACCAAACACATTTTTATAATAGGATCCTTACCATGCTAGACCCGAAAAGGGCCTTAAAGTACCAGAAACCGTTCCCCTGACACCCTAAAGCCAAAACCCCAAACCCTGAACCCTAAACCCCAACCCCAAACTCCAAAAACCTAAGCTTCTAAGCCCCTACTTGGAGGATCATGGGACTTAGTAAGCAGGGTTATAAGTGCCTTAATTGGGGTTAATTATCAGTACTTATGAGCATAGTTACCTTATTTATAACCCACTTACTAAGTCCCATGATCCTTTATGTAAGCCCCAAAGCCCCACAGCCCCAAAGCCCCTAAGCCCCTAAGCCCCAAAGCTCCGAAGCTCCTAAGCCCCAAACCCCTAGGCCACCAGGCCCCTCAGAAAAAAGCGATGTTCTTCAACATTCTTCAACTAGGATGCCCAGTAGTACCCGTATACCCTTTTTGTAGTCCTAGGTTCCTTATAAAGTTACCCAATACCAAAAAGAGAGGCCTTTTTATTCTTAGATTACTGGGTATCCTAGTCAAGTGGGAGATGAAGAGCCAGCCACCAATCCGCCCACGCCGGAAATTCCTTGCCAGATCTCGCGAGAGTATGGTGTCACTGGCGTTGACCAAAGCAATGTGGCTTTTGAGCTGCACGATGAAGTGGGCAGCGAATTCTGCGTCCGAGAAGATGCTAAGGGAGTGGGCCATGTTGGATGCTATGGTCGCATTTCAGGCCAGCCTGCTGCACGGACATCTAAGGTGGTTGGTGTCGCCACTGGGCCGATCACAGGTGAGCCAGTGATATACGACAATTGCATTGAGAACGTTTTGGAAGCAGGCAAGAAACGCACCGACGAAAACACCATAGGCTTCCCTTTTACTCCGACAAAAGAAGACAAAGAAAAGATCGGAGAAGTTTTGGCCCATGCAATGGGATACAAGGGAAATAGGAAATACCACGTCTTCTCAAAAGAGCAGATAGCCCTTAAGCCCCTAAGCTCCTAAGCCCTAAACCCTAAACCCTAAACCCTAAACCCTAAGCCCCTAAGCCCTTCAGCCCCTAAGCCCCAAAGCCCCTTCAGCCCCCAAACCCCAGGTACTTCGCCAACTCCGAGCTGGGTGTCTCCTCCTGGCAGGCAGGGTCCTGGGGTGTCCATAAAAACCCTCCCCAAGGGAAAAGGAGGGACCCTTAATGGGGACCCCTTCCCCAAAAATGGGGCCATATCATGGGTATATACTAGCTATATTGCGGGTATATACCTCGGGGTCCTTTCAAGGGTCCCTCCTTTTACCCTTGGAACCCTATACAGCCCTGGTCTAAAGGTAAGGATACCCTAACGTGGATCCAGGGTTTGGGCTCGAAGGTTCCCAGCTCAGGGGCTTAGGGTTCAGGGTCTTTGGGTTAAGGGCTTAGGTTCAAGAGTCTAATGTAGGAACCTGATTCAGAAACCCTGGTCCTGGAACCCAAATATGAGGATTCATAAAAGGAGCCCTAATAAAGACCCAAGGTTTTAAAATCACGTTCCCATATTTAGGGTTTAGGGTTGTCTGGCGCAAGTTATTGGTGCTCGAGCTTTAGCCTCCAAGAAAGAGAGTACTGTCATCCCGCTTTGTACAACCATGGAGTACAAGCTGGCAGTGGATTCCAGCAAGAAGGCCACGGAGCTGCCGCTATTGAGGGTTTGCGGCACCGTGCAGCAGAATCCGCACATGCGGGCCTTCTGGGCCAGCACCATATCTTTCTTCCTTGCCTTCTTGGGCTGCTTCGCACAATTTTATTATTACTATGTAATCTTCGCATTTTTGGGCTTAGCTCGTTTCAACCTTTAACGTACACTGTTATCAAAACAAAAAGTTTAAGCTGCCAAGGCTGGTTTGCCTTGGCGCCCTTGGGCCTCGAAGTTGCGACCAGCATGGGGACGTGCGAGAACCAGCTCTTCCCTCCTACGGACTTCCCAACGCGACCAGCCTACCTGAAGTTCAAGAACTTGAAGAGTGGGCTGAGCTATTGCCAGTATGGGGTTCTCAAGGAGGACGGCAAGCCGATCGACTGCGAGGACGTGCCAGCAGATGTAGTGAGTGGCGCCGAGTCAACGGATGAGCAGAAGGAGAAGTACAGGCCGCAGGTGCTGGCAAAGTGCGTGTGCACCCCGGGCACGGAATGTAAGTCGGTGATTGCGAATCTTTGTCATCGTTGGGTTACATTTTACCCTTTTATGGGTACTTAAACCCAATAAGGAATAAAAAATTGAATTTCGAATCCTATCCCAACCATGAACTAGGAATGCCGGCGTAGCCTCCGTTGCCTCGACCATCTTCGTGAGGGTTGCCTTGGGGACGCTCCTCGAGCGCTTCGGTCCGGTAAACGTTCAGTGCGGCTTAATGTCCTTTGGGGCCTTCTGGGTGGCAATGGCGGCCGCCATTACAGCTCCATGGAACTATACGCTGATCCGCTTCTTCATAGGTTGCGCCGGCGCCACTTTCGTGACCAATCAGTTCTGGTGCTCGCTGATGTTTGCGCCCAATGTTGTCGGCACGGCCAACGCCACTGCGGCCGGTTGGGGCAACTTGGGAGGCGGCGTGACCCAGATTTTTATGATGTCTGTACTTTTCAACCCTATGGTGGCATCCGGGTTGGAGCCGAATGTCGCTTGGCGTGTCTCCATGGTGGTGCCAGCGGTCATGTTCGTAGTTTGTGCCGTTTGCATGAAGCTCATGTGCTGGGATATGCCTACGGCACGCAACTACGATCCGGCCGTGACCGGCAAGACACAAAAGCCTTCGATGTGGGACTATGTCGAGGTGCTGCGTGACGTTCGCGTCGTGGTCATGATATTCCAATATTCCGCGTGTTTCGGCACCGAGCTCGCAATGAACAATCAGTTGGCTACGCATTTTCGGACATACTTCCAGATGGATGCAGGTGATGCCAGCGCGCTGGCGGGTGCTTTCGGCCTCATGAATCTTTTCGCTCGATCACTTGGAGGCATCAGCAGCGATGTGTGCTTCAAGTACTTCGGCTTCCGCGGCCGCATTTGGGCCCAGTTCCTGGCACTCTTCTTCGAAGCTATCTTCCTATTCAGCTTCGGAAACGTGGACAATTCTCAGCCTTGGTACGTGGCATTGGCAGTCTTGGTGTGCTTCTCGCTCTTTGTGCAGATGGCTGAAGGCACCTCCTACGGCATCGTGCCCTTTATGAACCGGAAGCTTGGATCAGTGCATGGAAGATTTTTGGGTCATTCGCGGTTGCCACCGTTGCATTAGTGTAGGACATGTCAGAACATCTGAGTGTGAAGTACTGGGGTCATGGCAACAACTTATCTTCGTAGTTCTTTGTGCCAACCGGTAGTATGCACACGTCAGGAAGCAGCTCGCAGTGGTGTCGGCGCTTGTGGGTGCCGGTGGAAACCTCGGGGCAGTGATTGCAGGCTTCTGCTTTTACAAGCCGATCCAGGATGCCCTGCTGCCTTTCCAGGTCCATGCGGGCTATGTAATGTTTTGGGCGCTGCTGAGCCCATGCTACTACTGGTCCGAGATGGGTGGGATGTTCCACGGACCGGCACAGAGCTCCGAGAAGGGCAAGACGCAAAGCGGTGAGTACCAGTCTCACACGGAGTCTGTGGCCACCAGTGAGAACTGCATGTGAAATTTAGCCTCGTTCAGAAGCGAGGCAGTATGACGGTCGAGGCTGAACAGAACAGCCTTGTGCTAATTCGATTGCTCGAGCCAGTTTTATGTGTTCGGTCGGTGTCTTAGCATGGAGTGCAGGGCACCGACGAGTTCAGACAGTCCCGCCGCTTGGCAACAGCTGTGCGCCGGGCCTGCCATTTCTGCGTTCTGCATAGAGTGCCAAGCAAATGACTTGGTGCTGCCAGCAACGGACATCGAAGACAAACATAAGTGAACGATGGTGGCTACAGAGATCGGAGTGATGGCAGCTGAGTTGCGTTGCAACAGCTTTGTCATCTGTTTGAGGGTTGGAGTTCGGTAGGAGCAAAGTGAATGTCGAGGTTTTGGGGTTCAAGGTTTTGGGTTTGGGGTTTAGGATTCAGAAGTTCCTTGATCCAAAAAGTGGATCCCGTGAGGGTGCTCCTATGAAGTGCTCCTCAGTAATTAGTACGGTGTCCCAAACTAGGGGTCCTAGTTTCTTTATTTGGGAGTTTCCGAAAATTTGGGGTCGTTATTTTGGGGTGCTTATAATAAAAATCCTACTATTTAGGGTGCTATACTAGGGTCCCCCATTTTCGGAAACTCCCATTTTTGGGTTTAACCCTAAGCCCTTAAATCGCTAAACCCTAAAACCCTAAACCCTAACCTTTCAACCCTAAACCCTAAAACCCTAAAGCCCTAAGTCCTAAAACCCTAAAGCCCTAAACCCTCTAACCCTAAAGCCCTGAAAACCCTAAATGCTTTCGGTTTGGGCGACCCTGGAGTATGAGCTCCGAACTGAGAGCCTTGGAAGCCGTCATGCACGGTCTAGGGTTTAGGCTTTGCATAAGGATTAGGCGTTAAGGATTTAGGGAGGGTTTAGGGTTTAGGGTTTAGGGGTTTAGGGGTTTAGGGTTTAGGGGTTTAGGGTTTAGGGTTTAGGGTTTAGGGGTTTAGGGGTTTAGGGTTTAGGGGCGTTTCCGATGGCAGGATCCGCGGCAAGAGACACAGCAGCTCGTCAGGCAAGCTCGGCGTTTAGGCTCGGGAGGTCGCCTTAGTAAGGTTCCTTTGAGGGCTCCTTATTAAAGGGATCCATAGGGTTCCTTAAAGGGATCCTACAGGGTTTAGGGTTTAGGGTCTACTGGGAGGATCATGGAACTTAGTAAATAAGTCTATAACTAAGGTAACTATATATATTTATAACTTGTACCTACTTTCAATCCCATTGAGGTAGTTTTTTCCTTAGGAAGTCCCATGATCCTCGAAGCAAGGTCCTGCGAGTCCATCTTCGGCTCTAGAAATCTCGAACTTAGCTCGCCCATCCTGCACTTGATATGTACAGTAGCGACTTTCCATAGGTAGGGCTTTGGGACATTTTATGTTTTCCCTTATTGGGCTTAAGAGGATCTTATTTCCTAACATTTTTCAACAGCTTTAAACGCCCCACCTAGGGAAGCTTTGAGGGATGACGAGGAGATTCAGGTTCCAGGAAGTTGAAGGCTCCTGCAAAACCTTACTTTGCAGGTTTTTTCTCATCCCAGAGAGCCCTATACCACTTAACTAAGGAATATAGCTTAAACTAGAATATGAAGCCCCTTATATTTTGAGCCATATTCCTTAATTAAGGGGTATTGGGCTTTCTGGGATCATGATACCCATGTATAACGCCACAAACAAGTAGGATACTGTTTCCTCGCAGTGGGAACAGGAGCATGCGCTTGGCATGGCCACCTGCCTCCGTCCAAGCACTCGAGTGTATTCACTCCGGCTGGGTCGCTTCCTGTCTGCCATGGAGCACTTTATGCTGCAAGGTATCTTCCACAGATTTCGCTCACTCATCCGGAGGTCATTGAAAGGTTGGCGCAAAAGACTACATTGGCGAAGGACATGGCTGGGAATGCTTTCAGCACAACAGTCCTACAAGCGAATCTCCTCGCGCTTTTGGTCAATCCGGCAGCCTGGAGGGTGATCCGTGTGCGGAACGAAGTCCGCCACAAGCAGCCCGGGCACGAAGCGTGGTACGGAGGAGTTGGAGCCCGACAGGGAGCAACGCCACCGCCAAAGAATGCCCTGTTCACGCCACTTCACGAAAGCAGCGCAGCTGGTGTGGCCTGCCAAAACATATCATCGTGTTCCTCAGTATTCGGGGTTGAAGTAGGGCTTGCAGTTGAGGGGTTCAAGGATTTCCAGTACATGATTAAGATTATGATTGATTTCGGGAGCGGCTGGGGCTTCGGCTGTATGTGCCTTATAATAAGTCAACAAAACAAAGCCATTCCGCATGTTTCTGCAGCAAATCCTATTGAATCGGAGTGCGAAGGGCGTCGAACCGTATCGTCTCCTTATGAAAGCGGTTCTTGTATGATGTCGAGGTGGCTAAGCCTTGAATGCTACATCCCAACCCCTACCTTAACCCTGACGGACCTACCTTTTCAAGGACTTTCATAAGGAAATCGTAATAAGGAGCCCTAAAAAGGTAGGTTACTTGGAGGGTCGGGGGATTTAGTAAGTGGGTATTAGTAAGTAGACAGTAGACTTATAAGTACCCTAAGAGGATCTAAGAGGGACCCTAATTGGGGTTATGGTACTTATAAGCCCCTAAAATAACCAGTTGCTATGTCCCCCGACCCTCCAAGAACTCTAAACCCTAAACCCTAATCCCTATACCCTTATAGAAGCCCTATAGATCCCTTTAAAGGAACCCCTTATAGTTACTAAGTCCCCCGACCCTCCAAGTATTCAGGGTCAAGGTAAGGCCTCAAGGCTAACTCCTACCCTGAACCCCCTAAGAAGCTGCCTCTCTTTCAGGACTTGTAAGCCTAGGACCTAGAGTAGGCCCTTATTCCCTTTTTGGGGGTTCAGGTTCCCTTATAAGCCCCTTTAAACTAAAAAGGGCACCCTTTTTATTCCTAGGCTACTCTTGGGTCTAGAAGCGGGAAATCGTAGTAAGGAGCCCTAAACTAAACCGAAAAGCCGGAACCTTCAGCCATGGCTGGAACCACAAAACAACCTGCGGTCGTAGGGGCTACTTGGAGGCCCTTTTGATTTAGTAAGTAGGGTTAGTAAGGTGGGTTATGGGGATTATAATAGGGTTCCTGGGGGATACTAAGTAGACTTACTAAGTCAACAGGGCCTCCAAGTAGAGAGCCCTAAACAGGGTAGGGCTTCTTGGTTTAAGGCCTTGCGGCCGGCTTACATCCGGATGCCAGGGTTCTGCAAGTAGGGCTGTGAGGGTGTGTTTTGGTTGGGGGAGTTTCCGAAAATTGTGTAGGGGTACCTTACTTTGGGCTCCTTATAATCAGGATCCTACTATTTAGGCTGCTACATTAGGGTCCTCTATTTTCGGAAACCCCTATATGGTTGATAACCCTACTATTTAGGGTACTATATTAGGGTCCCCTGTTTTCGGAAACCCCTATATGGTTGTCTAGGACCCAGAGTAGGCCCTTATTCCCTTTTTGTAGGGTTCAGATTCCCTTATAAGCCCCTTTAAACCAAAAAGGGCACCCTTTTTATTCCTAGGTTACTCTTGGTTCTAGTTGTCTCAGTCAGAATACCGCTTCATCAGGACTGTGGGGCTCCCTAAGCCCCAAACCTCACTCCCTAAACAGTTTAGGGTTTAGGGTTTAGGGTTCGGCCCCAACTCAGCAACAGTTGGATAATATTCATAATATAGATATAGTAGGCCCTTAATAGTAGCCCTACTATAGACTGTTACTGTATGGGGGCCGTACCCAAACTAAACCTTCAACCCTAGACGCTAAACCCACAACCCTAAACCCTGAAGCCTAAAACTTTAATGCCCTTGACACCCTGAACCATGAAACCCTAAAGCCCTAGTGCCTTTTTGAACCCGTTTAAGCCCTAAATCCCAAACCCGAAACCCTAAACCCTAAACCCCTCAACCCTAAACCCGAAACCCCTAAACCCGAAACCCTCAAATATCGAAACAATAAACCCGAAACCCTCAAACCTAAACCCTACTTCGGACCAAGGCATATCTTCGAAGTGCAGTCAAACCTCCTAGATGCCCTCGAGGAGACATTCGATGGTTTCTTGAAACGATCCTGACACAGTTTAGGGTTTAGGATGGCTTAAGGTTGAGGGTTTCTTGAAGGATTCTTAAAGGGTTTCGGGTTGAGGGTTTCTTGAAGCGATCATGACAGGGTTTAGGGCTGAGGGTTTCTTGAAAAAGGTTCTGACACAGTTTAGGGTTTAGGGTTGAGGGTTTCTTCGGAATCCCAAGTTGTGGGCAATAGAAGTGGCAACTTCTGGTTGTGTGCCTTCCGGTCCATTCCGTGTGTACTTCGGCAGTATTGTCCGAATTTCCCTGTTGTTTCCATTCTTTATGGGTTTAACGTTTAGGGTTTAAGGTTGAAGCTGGACAGCAGGAAGACGGGCCGCCAGTACCCTTGTCACTACTTGGAGGCCCTTTTGACTTAGTAAGTAGGGTTAGTAAGGTGGGTTATGGGGATTATAATGGGGTTTCCAGGGGATACTAAGTAGACTTACTAAGTTAAAAGCGCCCCCAAGTAAACCCGTTACACCCGCGTTCAACACCCCTGAAAAGCCCTACCGCCCAAAGCCTTCAAAGCACCCTAACGCGAAAGGAGATGTTGCCTGGCTATGTCGACACCCAAGGCAATGAGCCAGACAGTTTGGGCATCCTGCATTACCCACAATAGGGAATATGCCGTAATTCCCATGGTACTGCAGGATTTATGCCGTAGGGTGTAGGGGGTTAGGGTCTCTAAACCATAAACCCCTAAACGCTGGATTTCTGAAATCCGCCGGCCCTAAAACTGAAAGTCTGCACCCGAAACCCTCAAAGAAGCCCCAAGCGCTGAACAAACCTCCGGAACGAGAGCCATGAAACGAAAAAACCCAAACGTCCAAGCTGGACGTCAGGCCCGGAGAACCCAATACCCCTTAATTAAGGAATATACCTCAAATTACAGGGGCCTTAATTTGGCCTTAATATTATGATTTAAGGTATTTTCCTTATTAAAGGGGTATTGGGATCTCTGGGGGGTGAGTGTCCACGGTCTACGTGGACCCCAAATGTATGCAGGATAGTAGCCTTTCATGAGTGTTGGTTGGGCCATTCTTTGCCTACTTTTGAGGGTTCGGGTAGGTAGGGTCCTCCAGTGTTTAGGGGCCACGTTATGGGGACTCCTAAAAGCTGAGGTACCCCTAAGTGCAAGACCCTGGCAAGAAGTTAGAAGGATCCTCGGGGTTTACCTTAAACCCTATAGAGTCCTTACATAGACCACGTGCCCTCATAGAAACCCTATACTTGGAGGCCCTGTTGACTTAGTAAGTCTACTTAGTATCCCCTAGAAACCCTATTATAATTCCCATAACCCACCTTACTAACCCTACTTACTAAGTCAAAAGGGCCTCCAAGTAGAGTCCTTACATAGACCGTGTGCCCTCATAGAAACCCTATACAGCCCTGAGCTAAAGGTAAGGATACCCTAACGTGGATTCCGGAAGTCAGAGCTTCCCAGAACTTCGGGAGGATGCCCTAAAGAGGTTCATATAAAGTACCCTGAGTAGTCGAGGGCCCCAAATTAGGGGATCTACTTTCTAGATCCTCAACCCTAAACCCTAAAGGATCCCTTAATTGAGCCGGTTTAGGGTTTAGGGTTTAGGATCCCTTTAAGGATCCCTACGAATCTACTTTCTAGAGCCTCCCGGAGGTCTGGGTTGCGGTAGATGTCCAGGGTTTAGGCCCGACGGCTCCAGCTCAGGGGCTTAAGCTTCACTTGGAGGGTCATGGGACTTAGTAAGTAAGGGTTCCTTAAAGGGCTCCTTGAAGGGATCTGTAGGGTTCCTTAAAAGGGAAATATAGGGTTTAGGATTTAGGGTCTACTTGGAGGATCATGGGACTTAGTAAGTAAGGTTATAGGTGCCTTAATTGGGGTTATAAGTACTTATAGGTATAGTTACCTTACTTATAACCCGAGTTACTAAATCCAATGGTCCTTTAAGTAGGGTCTTAGGGCCAAAGAGCTTAGGTTCAAGAGTCTAATGTAGGAACCTGATTAAGAAACCCTGGCCCGATAACCCCAAAATAGTAGGTTTCATATAAGGAACCCGAATAGAGGCCAAAGGTTTCTTAATCAGGTTCCTACCCTTACATATTATTTACGGCTCCTATGTTGTAGAACCCGAATATAGATCCCTTTAAAGGAACCCTTCAAGGATCCCTTTGAAGGACCCTCTATACTAGTTCCTAGGTGCAGGGTACGGATACGGTGCCCTATTTAGAGGATCATGGGACTTAGTAAGTCGGGTTATAATTAAGGTAACTATATTTATCAGTACTTATAACTCTAGTTAAGGTACTTATAACCTTACTTACTAGGTCCCATGATCCTCCAAGTATGTGTAGAGAGATGTCAGTCGGGAGCTCTTGCCGCCGAACCCACGGAAGACCGCTTGGGTACAGTTTTTGGGGGTTTCGGGTTTAAGTGCAGGGTTGAATTAGGGGTTAGCTAGCTACGGCCCCCACTCAGTAATAGTTGAATAATATTCATAATATAGATATAGTAGGACCTTAATGCAGCCCTATTATAGACTCTTACTGTATGGGGGCCGTACCTAAGGGGTTAGGGGTTTAGGAGTTTAGGGTTAAGGGGTTTCGGAGTTTAGGGTTTAGGGGTTTAAGATTTAGGGTCTAAGGTTTAGGGGTTTGAGGTTCGCTTCCGGTTCCTCGAGCGTAGCATTCGTTCCCCTGGCCCTGCCCCTTAAGTCCTGCGAGCTGGCCTTCCAAACGAGAAGCTTAAGGATATGGGTTTTGGCTTTAGAAGCGCTACCTTAACCCGAAGTGGCCTACCTTTCGGGGACTTACATGTAGTAAGTAACCGAGAAAGGAAGGTGTTTGCAGGGGCCCAGGTGGACATTAAACTCTTATTCACCGCAGGATAGAAACCTGCAAATGTTTGATACCCAAAACGGACTTAAGCATAAGCATAAACATGTTACTGGGATATCCCTACCTTGTTGGGCTTCATTATAACCGGGTTTAAAGGTGATATCACCAACCAAATTTGGCTTATGTGCTTTTCTGGGGCTTTAAAGTATGCAGTGTTCCAACTTCAGGGCTTAGGCCCGGATGACGATGCTAAATAAAATTGCAAGAACTGGAAGATTGAATGAGTATTACAGTACTAGCCCAAGAATTGGAAATCCAATAGCGTCAGTCCATGTCAGTCCTTAAGAGAGTAATGTATAGGGCAGCCCAGCACTATTTGTCCTTAATCCGCTTTCCAACTTTTCGGGGTTACTATAACACTAGTCCCTAGGGTTCCTCATTATGCTTGTGTTGTACTATGCCCTAAACCCCAACTCTCATTCTGAAGGTCCGTTTATAACGTCGTTGGAAGGTCGTAATTTTAAACGCTTCGCGCCGTCCGCCTCGGCCCGGCCGTGACAGAAGCAAGCGCACTGTGAAGGCGTCCTTGAAGGACCTTCAAGCCTAAAACTTAGCTTTAAGTGGTATATTCTTTTCCTTTGTTTTCCCGGCTCTTAGGGTTGGTTGAGGTATGCAGACTGAGCACCTTCATCCCGTAACGACTTGCTCCTAAGACGCTAAACTCAAAGCTTCATCTCTCAAGCCTAAACCCTCATTCTTCGCTGCATGTTCCTCAACGGCGGCGTCGATGCCATGCTCGGTCGGGCCAAATTTCTGAACCTGTAAGTTTTGTAGCCGACAGTTCGCAAGCTTCAGTTTCTCAGCCTTGCACAAGTCGAAGCAGCAGCGGATGGAGCTGGCGCTGGCACCGGAACGACCGCTGCCTGTTTGGGACGCAGAACATGCTTTTTGCGCAGAGGCGTGAGGTTTTTAATAGGGGAGAGGGGGGGAGGAGGAGGGGGGGCCGGGAGGGGTGGGGTCGCTGGGGAGGGGATTAAGAGGTGGGGAATGGACGGAATCCGATAGGAACTTCTGACCGTTTGGGTTGGGGCCGAGGCGAATTCTAACTTTCTCGGCTCCCACTTCCTGTTCCTGATGTCAACCTCCACTGAACATCGGAGTCTGGGTTTTGGGGCTTACGAAGGGCAAAACGGCTAGTTATTCTGTGAGACTCAAGAAACCCTTCGGCGCTCCCTGTTAAGCATGCCCTCAACCATAAGATTTCCACAAGGTTCCTCGGCAACCAGGAATAGGCAAGATGCTGCAATAGCAGGGTGTAGGGTAGGCAGAACATATCTATAGCCTGTTTTGTTGAAACTTTTGATTCAGGTTTTGCGGTCTGCAAGAGCTCCCAAAGTACAAAAACTGGATTCTTTTTTCCAGAACTTTGTAGCTCTGCCTCTCGCTCTTAGCTGCGGTGTCGCGTTTTCCATTTAGCATCCGAAATGGGTTCCCTCAATGTCGCATGGTAATGAAGTGTAGGTGGGTTAGAACATTATCGTTTAGAACCTGTAGGCTTCAACGTCAGCAAGGGCAAGGTTTTAAGCTCTGGAGCGCGAAGAACCCAAACATCATGTCACTGTCGTGCTCAGGAAAACGACATAACGTCGAGTCTTTGTGGATTTGTGGAAGTATGACATTGCTCGTGCTGTTTGGAGTCGATGACATGCATTGCCACGAAGACGGCTTGAACGCATCAGCATGAACCAGTCGCTTGTTCGCAGCGGGGGGCGGGGAGTCTGAAGGTGCAGAGTGCAAGGTTTTTGTTGCACGACCACAAACCAAAACCCAAAGTTTCAACTTCACGCACCGCATCTCTATCCGAAATGTAGAGTTTTGAACCATAAGCCCGGTGTGCTACAAGAAACAACCTGGATGGACAGGTCGTGTACCGTAGACGGGGCACCCACCCTGTAACAGTGGTATAATAAGAATATAACAGGGCCCTAGTATAATCCTTACAGTTACTATTACAGGGTGGGGGCCCCTTCTAACGTGTACCTCAAAGAAACGGTTTGGCATTGCCAAATTCGGAGTTTCGATTCGAGTGTTCCTTCGTCGTTTGTTTCATGATTGTGCCTTTGAATGCAACGTACAGTGTAGAATGTTCCGGTTTTGGCCGATCCGTTTGGGATCTACGAACATGCCAATTTTCCAACCAGCCCAGGCCCAACGACCAACACTGTTCCGTAAGCCGCAAGCCCTAAAGTCTGCTCCAGACATACACAACCCTTTTAGGATTCCATAGGACGTCATGAGGACTTGCGTTGAAAGCTTATAAAGCTTCTAAGCCATCAGTAAGCCCTGCCTCTTCGAACGCCGAGCTACCCTTAACATGAAAAGCTTGAACAGCTACCAATTTAGGATTGAAGGTTACTAGCGCCCACTTGGGGCAATCACACGCTGCACTGTACCCCGCGGACTGCGTTCCTTGACCCTTCTGGTGGTATGACTCCCTAAAGCCTAGAGCCTCAAAGCCGATACCGGCATCTTTCTAACGGGTCATCCCACATGATCCGTTGCTGCGTTAGTAAGCTGTCGAGATGCATGTGACGACAAGTTTCCGAGCGAAGATCCAACTCCGATAGATAGAAAATTGGGCGTCAGACGCTGCAAGGGAGTTTCCTGAAAATGCAAACAAGGAACCCCCAACATGCGCCGCAAATAGCATGAGTCTTTGCCAAACTTTCTATGAGGACCCGTCAGCAAGTGTACACTGAGCGCCATCAAGCCCCCGAAACTCGAGCTTACTCCGAATCCTTAAAGCACCTCGAGCCGAAAACCCTGTTAACAACCTCAGGCGGAAGCTGTTCTAGGATGCCCAGTAGTACCCTTATTCCGTTTTTGTAGTCCTAGGTTCCTTATAAAGGTACCCAATACCAAAAAGAGAGGCCTTTTTATTCTTAGGTTACTGGGTATCGTAGATCCCTTAAGGGGGGTTCCTATAAAGTAAGGGGCAGAAAGGGAGGCCAGGTTGCTGGGCATCCTAGTGTAATGGAACCCGAAACTGTAAACCTTATGCCTATACAACAAGAGGACGCCTTCGATGAACCTTTGAAGCGACCCTTAAAAGGATTTTTACAGGAACCTGGATGGGAGTCCTGAAAGGAACCCTCATAAAACCCTTATGCTAAGCCTTATCGCTCCCAAACGAGCTTTAAAAACACTCCTCAAAGCTTGCACCCAAAACCCTAAAACCCTAAACCCCTAGCTCCTAGACCCCAAACCCCTAAACCCCTAACCTAGCTCCTAGACCCCAAACCCCTAAACCTCTAACTCCTAAACTCAAAACCCTTAAACCCTAAACCCCTACTACACCCTAAGCCTAAGATCCCTATAGATCCCTTAAAGGGGTCCTGAAAGGAATCTCTTAGCCCCTGATTCCAGAGAGCCCAATACCCCTTAATTAAGGAGTATAGCTTAAATCATAATATGAAGCTCCTTATAATTTAAGCCATATTCCTTAGTTAAGGGATATCGGAAACCCTACGTAATCCCTATAGATCCCTTATAGATCCTTTTTAGACCCCTGATCCTTTTCAGACTTTTAAAGGAACGCCAGGTATATTCCTTAATTAAGGGGTATTGGAGTCTCTGGGTAAACCCAAACACCCAGAGAGCCCAATATCCCTTAATTAAGGAGTATGGCTTAAATTATATAGGGCTTCATATTTTGATTTAAGATAAACCCCTAAACCTTAAACCCCTACTACCTGAACCCTAAACCCCAAACCCCTAAACCCTAAAGCCTAAACCCAAACAGGTGAACTTCCAGGCTTCGGGCTGCTAGACCGCCGACCGAGGGGAATGCTCGAAGTGAGGCGCCCGGGTTTGGGGTTCCCTCAAAGTCCTTAAAGGGTACTTTAAAGGTTCCTTTAAGGGATCCATAGGGATCTTGGGTTTAGGTTTTAGGGTTTAGGTTTAGGGTTTAGGTTTTAGGGTTTAGGGTTCTGGGTTTAGGGTTTAGGTTTTAGGATTCAGGTTTCGCTCCTTCAAGGAATGAGGGTTTAGGGGTTTAAGGTGTCCTGAAAGGACTCTTTAAGGGGCCACTCCGGGGTTGAGGGTGTTTTGGGGCTCAGGGTTTATTGTTTAAGGTTTCAGGGTGTGTCGGGTGTAGAGTGAGGCACCTATTTCTATGACATGAAGGTTGCAGGGTTCAGGAGGAGGGCCGTCGTTGGGTGCAGGCGTTACGTACGGGTCACCTAACCCTAAGTTCTAAGCAATCCCAAATTCAACCTTAAAGGCCCTAACCCTTCAACCTTAAAGGCCCTAACCCTTCAACCTTAAAGGCCCTAACCCTTCAACCTTAAAGGCCCTAACCCTTCAACCTTAAAGGCCCTAACCCTTCAACCTTAAAGGCCTTAACCCTTCAACCTTAAAGGCCCTAACACCCAAGACCCTAAACCCTAAAACCGAACATAAACCAGCAAAGCCCGAAGCCGTAGAACTCTAGAGCTCTAAAGGCCTTAAACCCCAGGCTGTTTCGCGGTACACTTTTTTTACTTGTTTCTGGGTTCCTATGACCAAATGAGAAGCCTAAAAAAGTATGTATTTTTTCCCAGTGGGTTACTGAAAAGCCCTGGTACCCTAAACCCTAACCCTAAACCCTAAACCCTAAACCCTAAACCCTAAACCCTAAACCCTAAAACCCTAAACCCTAAACCCGCCCGCGGGGAGCTTCGCCGACCAGGGGCAACAGCTTCAGCATGGACAGCCAGCCCACGCCGCTCGGACCGGCGGGGGGCGTCGGGTGTTTACTGTAGGGGACACGGGTTGCTATAAGGGGTCGTGTGAGGGTCTGCATAGGGGCCTTAATAGTTAGAATAGGTATATAGGGCTTTTGGAGTTTTGGTGCAGGGGCCTTAGTAATTCGAACAGGGTTTTGGGCTCCTTAATATTATAGTCATGGTAAGGAAATGGAGGCTTCTACATGGGGGCAAGCCTACTTGGAGGATCATGGGGCTTAGCAAGTATAGCTAAAGTATCAAAAGGGAAAAGGAGGGACCCTTAATGGGGACCTCTACCCTATAATGGGCCAAATTATGGGTACATAATACCTATATAAAGGGTATATACCTAGGGGTCCTTATTAAGGGTCCCTCCTTCTACCCTTGGAAAGTATAACCTTACTAAGTCCCATGGTCCTCCCTCAAGGATTCCTTCCTGAAGGCTCTTTCTAGGCTTACTTTGTTAGGGTTTAGGGTTTAGGGTTTAGGGTTGCATATATCGGGTTACCATCGAAAATTCAGAAGCCTCCTCGGGGTTCCTTCATTCCGGGCTCTTGACATGGCTACTTTGTGTGGCATGGACTTATACCCTAAAGCCTCAACCCTAAACCTTAACCCTAATAGCCTCAACCCTAAAACCCCTAAAACCCTAGCACCGAGATCCGAAATCCCCAACCCTAAACCCCTACTTGGAGGCCCTTTTGACTTAGTAAGTAGGGGTTCCTTTAAAGGGGTCCTAAAAGGGATCTATAGGGGTTCCTTAAAGGGGGTCTATAGGGTTTAGGCTTAGGGTTTCTTACTTGGAGGCCCTTTTGACTTAGTAAGTAGGGTTAGTAAGGTGGGTTATGGGGATTATAATAGGGTTTCTAGGGGATACTAAGTAGACTTACTAAGTCAAAAGGGCCTCCAAGTAAACCCCTAAACCCTAAACCCTTGAACCCTGAACCCCTAAACCCTAAACCCTTGAAAGGAAGCCTTAACCCTACGGATCGAAATGGCCCAAAAGCCTTGTATAGTATGGCCTTTGGGCCCAAAAGCCTCAATATATGAGGCCTTAGATCCCTAGTGTAAGAGCCCTTAACACCCTACACCTTAAACCCCTACTACCTGAACCCTAAACCCCTAAACCCGAAACCCTGAATTCCTAATCCCCTAAACCCTAAACCCTTAATTCCTAAACCCCTAAACCCTAAAACCTTAATTCCTAAACCCCTAAACCCTAAACCCTTAAGAGGAATGCTTAAGAGGAGCCCTTTACGTCAAGCCTTCCGAGGTCCCCTGAACCCTAAAAGCCCTAAGCCATAAACCCTAAACCCCGAAACCTTACAGATCCCTATAGATCCCTTAAAGGAGCCCTTAAAGGAATCCCCTAAACCCTAAACCCCTAGATCCTAAGATCCCTATAGATCCCTTAAAGGAACCCTTATAATGCCCTTAAAAGGATCCCTTGAAGGAACCCTTATAATGCCTTTAATAGGATCCCTTAAAGGAACCCTTATAATGCCCTTAAAAGGATCCCTTAAAGGAACCCTTATAATGCTCCCTTAAAGGAACCCTTATAATGCCCTTAAAAGGATCCCTTAAAGGAACCCTTATAATGCCCTTAAAAGGATCCCTTAAAGGAACCCTTATAATGCCCTTAAAAGGATCCCTTAAAGGAAGCCCTTATAATGCCCTTAATAGGATCCCTAAATCCGAAATCCCCAGCCCTAAACCCTAAACCCTTAAAAGGAACCCTTAAGAGGAGCCCGTTACGTCAAGCTTCCCTAAACCCTGAACCCTAAACCCCCAAACCCTATAGATCCCTTAAAAGGAGGCTACTAAGGGGTTCTACCGTAGGGTGTTTGGAGGATGAGGGTTTGGGCTTAGGGTTTACGGTTTTGGGGGTTTGGGGGTTTGAGGGTTTAGGAATTTAGGGTACCCTTAAAAGGAACCCCTTCCTTCCCAGGTCTCCCGGCCGAAGCCCCACGCCCCAGCGCTCGGTGAGCTCTCCCGACTTGTGCCTTGGATCAAATTTAGGGTTTAGGGGATTCCTTTAAGGGCTCCTTTAAGGGATCTTAGGGTCTAGGGGTTTAGGGTTTAGGGGATTCCTTTAAGGGCTCCTTTAAGGGATCTATAGGGATCTTAGGGTCTACGGGTTTAGGGTTTAGGGGATTCCTTTAAGGGCTCCTTTAAGGGATCTATAGGGATCTTAGGGTTTAGGGGTTTATGGTTTGAATTGTTCTTGGAGGGCTTCCCTCAAAGGGGGTGTAGGGTTTCAGGGTTTAGAGTTTAGGGTTTTAGGGGGTTTAAGGCGGCTTAATAACTGAAGGGCTTTACTTACTAGCTGAATCACTATACTTATCATGTTTGGGGGTAATATATAAAGCCCTTTTGAACAACGTGAAACAGTTCGTGGGGCTTAACAGAGGCTACTAAGAGGTTCTACCGTAGGGTGTTTGGCGGATGGGGGTTTGGGCTTAGGGTTTAGGGTTTTCGGGGTTTGGGGGTTTGAGGGTTTAGGATTTTAGGGTTTTTTGGATTTAGGGTTTAGGGGTTGGGGGTTTGGGCTAAGGGTTTAGGATTTAGGGCTTTTTGGGTTTAGGGGTTTGGGGGTTTAAGGGTTCAAGGGTTTAGGATGTTAGGGTTTTTTGGTTTTAGGGTTTAGGGGTTTGGGGTTAAGGGTTTGAGGTTTCAGGATTTAGGGCTTTTTGGGTTTATGGTTTAAGGTGTAATGTTTGGGGTTCGGATCCGCGTGCAGGAGCAAGAAGCACCAACAGCTCACGGCCAAGATGGAGAAACCCGAGCCTACCTTCCAGGCGCGGGTTCATATGGGTAGTTCTCTAAATTAGGGTTTTTTGGGTACCAAAAATAATGCGGCACCCTGTTTAAAAGGACCCTGACAGTCATTTTTGATAACCCCACTTACTAAGTCCCCATAATCCTTTAAGTATGCCCTGAGCCGAGACCTACAAACCCACTAACGTCTAGGTATCTTTGTTTAGGATGGTACCTGGTAGTCCTGTAGAATAGTATTTGGCAGAGGGCATGTTGATCTAGGTCTCCGAGTGGGCTCTTTTTCTATGTTTGTCGTCTTAGGTTGCTGATGAAACGGCCGTTGCACCAAAATGGGAGCCGATTTGGTTCCTAGCTAATAGGGTATCCTGGTTGTTAGCTGCTTGGACTCTAAGGGTCTCTTAGTGTCTCTTAGTGTGTACTAAAAGTTCTGGCTTGCAGAGGAGCCGGGGTATGTCTTTGAGCGATCTCTTATTTTTTGGGGTCCATGAAGTTTTGCTTAGTAGCTGAGTGGATACGCTTTACACTTTTTAGGATAATACTACCCACAGTAAAACTGAAAGTGTACACTTTTGGGGGCATATGAACTCAGCAACTAAGCTTGATGACCGGGAAGCACATACTCGTTCGGCACAGACCCGAAGAACACCGAGAGCCTGCTCGAAGCTGTACGGCTCTCACTCTCCAAGGCTCCAAAGCTCTAAAGCATTTGAAAGCTCGAAACTGCTAAAATTGGGAATTAAGACTCAGTCTCTAAAGCCCAACGCCCTAATCCCTCCAACTCCCTACTTTGCGTGTTGGGCCCCGCATTTTTCCACAAGTTCTCTACACTAGCCTGCACCCTGGGCCCTTTGAACTCTTCCAGGAACTTGTTCAGAAACTCCGTAAGGAAAGCAAACCGTCAAAAACTTGACACCTTGATCCCGAAACCCTCAAACCCTAAAGCCTTAAACCCGCAACCTTTAACGCTTCGCAAAAGGCATGCGGCACACCCCCAAACCTGACAGGAGCTGCGAGGGAGCTTGCTGCAGACGCTGGAGCTTTGCCTTGCGTTCTTCGGGTGTAAGGCTTACTTAGGTTTTGAGTTTTGGGTTTAGGGGATTTTGCAGGCGTTGCAGGGGATTTCCAGGGTTTCACAAAAGTTTGTAAGGGGTTGTTGAGTTTCAGCAGGGTTTCCAAACCCTATATCCTAAACCAACCCCTATACAAGCGTTTCTGCAGTGTTCTAGCAACAAGATTTTCGGCTGTTGGGTTTTAGATCCGGGCCCAAACAGTGAAGAGTTCAACCAGCCCGAAGTATGTACTATGTTTAGGCTGTAAACAACGGATAGGCATTGTTTGTTTTCTGGGAAAGCCGTGCGCGCAAGCCCTAGAAGAATCCAGACCTTCCAAAATCCTTCAATTAAGGAATATACCGTAAATTATACTAGGATCCCTAACGTCATAAAACGGTAGGATATGGTTTCGAGTGTTTAGGTCAGCGTAGAGGGTAGCCTTGGAGGGTCTGGGTAAACCCGACAGCCTAAACGCCAAGCCCAGAGCCCGAACTATCAGCCTGTGAACTGCACGTGCATGGTACTTGCTTCATCTTAGAGACCCAAAAAGCACATAAGCATAAGCATTTGATGGGGATATCCCTACCTTATTGGCCTTCCTTTTAAGCGGGTTTATATGGGACATCCCTACCTTTACTTTTGCTTATATGCTTTTTTGGGGCCCTATCATCTTGCTTCAACTACCATTCCCGACGACATGCAGGCCATGAAGTACTGGTGCATCGACAAATTCCAGCCCATGCTGTTAGAAAAATGAACGATCTGATCTGTACTCAAATCACGACCGGGTTATAAGAATAAGGTAGCTCTACTTATAAGTACTTACCCCAATTAAGGCACTTATAACCCTACTTACTAAGTCCCATGATCCTCCAAGTAGGGTTCTAATGGATGGTTCTAAGCACTTCAGTCACTTTAGTAGGCCTAGTAAGTCCCTTGATTCTGTGATCCCGCAACCCTGATCCTCTAAGTTGACACTAAACCCCCAACTCTCAGAAGACCCTGAACCCTAAACTCTCCAGCAAAAGTACCAAACCCCAAACCCGCAACTTTATTCACGTAATCCCCGAACCCTCAACCCTAGACTAAAGTCTACACCAGAGACTGTCCCTGAGCCGTCAATCCGCAACCATTCTTTGGTGCTTAGCATAGTTTGGTGTTTCGATGTGTTTAGGGTTTAGGAGTTGGGGTGCGGGGTAGTTGGCGTATAGGGTTTTGGGTTCAGTTCCTTTTTATTCAAGGGTATTTCCAAAAACTAGTTGATGGATCACCTCGTGAGAGGAGCGCTAATGCAAGTCGTACTTAAAGGATCATGGGACTTAGTAACTTGGGTTATAATTAGGGTAACTATACTTATAACCCCTTTTTACCCCAGTCAAGGTACTTATAACCTTACTTACCAAGTCCCACGATCCTCCAAGTAGCAGGCAAAACCGCCTCAACCCTGTTGCCGTTAAGCCAAAATGCGCCAGGAACCCTGCAAAGCCCGCGTGTGCACGAAGTCATAAACGAGCCTTGTAAATCCCACCGTTTAACGAAATAGGCCCGGCACCAGAAATCCTTCAACCCTCAACCCGAAATGTAATGGCCGGAGAAGCGCACCGCCCTGGAACTGGGTCGACGCACTAATAAGAATTTCCGAGCCACCACCTCGGGAGGAGACATTCTTCTACATCTACCGGGACGATGAAGAGGTTGGCGCACACTATTCTCCAGATACCCGTCAGGATCTGAAACACACAGCTTTGAACAATAGGGTGCCTGAAAAGGGGTGCTTAAAGAGTCCTTGCAAGGGTTCCTTAAACGGGCTCCTAGAAGGATCCTTATACGGGTCTTCATCAGGTTTTGTATAACACGTAGTAACTGAGTAGGTAACCTTCAACCTCTTTAGGGTGTATAATCCTACCATGCATGGGCAGGTTAACCGTTTTTTGGGCCAGGGTACTCAGCTCCCAAGTGTTCAAGGCCGCAGGATGCTGGCATATCTTTTCGTTCAGGGGTCCGGGACAGCCTCCGTACCAAGCCCATATCCAAACCTGTTTACTCAACCTTTAACCCTACACCTCGAAAGTGTTAAACATCTGAACCTTAGCCCAATAATTACCCTAAGCTCTACTTGGAGGCCCTGTTGACTTAGTAAGTCTACTTAGTATCCCCTAGAAACCCCATTATAATCCCCATAACCCACCTTACTAGCCCTAGTTACTAAGTCAAAAGGGCCTCCAAGTAACCCCTAAACCCTAAACCCTATAGATCCCTTTAAGGAACCCCTATAGATCCCTAAGCTCTAGTGACTCTAGTAACTACTCCTTGAAACCCTGCGCCCTAAACCCTGAAGCCGAATCATCTCCGGCCAAGCGGGGATGTCTTTCTACAGTCCAACCCACGGTTTAGGGTTTTGGGGTTTAGGGTTTAGGGTTTAGGGTTTAGGGTCTGAACCCCTTAATGAAGGAATATCTACCTTAAATCATAATATCAAGGCAGCTAGGATGCCCAGTAGTACCCTTACTCCCTTTTTGTAGTCCTAAGTTCCTTATAAAGTTACCCAATACCAAAAAGAGAGGCCTTTTTATTCTGAGGTTACTGGGTATCCTAGGCCCTTAATGAAGGAATATCTACCTTAAATCATAATATCAAGGCACCCTGTAATTTAAAGTAAAAGCCAGAAAGTTGGAATATGATTATCCTAAACCCTTTATGGTAAATTATAGGGTATCCTACCCCGAAACCATATTCCAACTTTCTGGAGTTCCCTTTAAGGCATAATCCCTCCGCCTTGAAATCTTTCCAGGTGTGGGTTTCTTGAGGTTTTAGGGTTTGGGAAATCAAGGTTCTAGGGTTTAGGATTCAGAGATTTAGAGGTTTAGGGTTTGGCGGTTTTAAGGATTAGGGTTCGGAGATTTAGAGGTTTATGGTTTAGAGGTGCACGGTTCAGGGTTCAGAGCTGGGGGTTGAAACCAGGGCTTAGGGACGTTAGTACAATATATATATATATATATATATATATATAGCCCTGTGCTTACATAGCGAGGCGCTACTTGGAAGCTCTTGCGACTTCATCAGGCTAGTAGCTGAGTGAGTGTACGTTACACTTTTTGAGATAGTGTTCCCCCGTGCAAGACTAAAACTGTAATTTTTTGAAACTTACCAACTCAGCAACTGAGCAAGGGTTCAGGATTGTGTAGGCCCAGGGTTCGGGGCATAAGCTGTGCTTTGAAGAAGCTTCGCCTGCACCGTAAACGCAAAGCCCAAAACTCTAACCAACTTAAACCGCAGTAAAACTCGGTATCGACTTGGGGTGGTTATTCGTGTCCCTGTATTCTCAGTAGAGGGCCCTAGTTCAACTAGTCTTGAGGAGTGTTGAAATCGACACCGAGCAAAGGCTAATCCCTTAACCGCAACCCTAAGGGTCCATGTACACAATAATCATATACTCTCCAAAATATTGAGCTATAGCTACCTAAACCCTAAACCCTAAACCCTAAATTACATAGCTACTATCCTAAACCCAAGTACCTAACTACTGGGTCCTTTGGACCCTTAGGGTAAACTTCGGAACCGCCGATCCTCAACCCCCTCAAGACCCTGATAGGATGCCTTCAGGGAGGTTTGGGGTTTAGGGTGTAATTTTTTGGGGGTTTAGGGATTAGGGATTAGGGGTTAGTTAGGGTTTGGGGTGTGGGGGTTAGTGTGTGTAGGGTTTCAGGACTCCGTTAAAGAACTCTAAACGCTCTGAGGCCCCCCCCCCCCGCAATTGCGCTCATGCCAGTCGCAGCATCTCCTGATCCAGAGGAAGCTGAAGGAGAGGCGTCTTCGGAGGCCTTGCCACTCCTTTAAGGGGGCCATAGGCAAAACCCCGAAAAGATCCCTAAGCACATAAAAGTGTAAAAGGAACCACTAAGGATTCCTTTAGTTTCAGACCCAATAGTTAGGTACTTGGGTTTCGAATAGTAGTTATGTACATCTAGCTCAATATTTTGGAGAGTATATGATTATTAGGTATTTGGACCCTGGCCCGAAGCCGCTGAAGCTCGTATGCGGTCTGGTTCTTAGTAGGGAATGGGGGACTGGATTATGGAGCTTATTGTTGGGGGTTATTTAGGTGCTACTATAGGGATCCATTCCCCTTCCCTACAAAGCACCAGACAGCGTAGTAACCCATACCGTAACCCTCGTAGCCCCTGAAGAACCCTTGAAGGAACCCCTTCACGGAATCTTGAGAGTACGAGTCTGAATAATTACCATACGATTTATTCGGCTTACTTCGTATAGTTTCGCTGAGATATGTCCCAGAACCCTATTCCACTTATTTTGTTCCTATACGAAACCCCATGCAGCATGTACAATAGAACCCGTATAGACCCCTTCAGGCAACCCTTTATGAGGGACCCTTCTCTTGGTTGCTTCGCCCCTTAAACCCATGATCCCCTAAACCCTCAGCCACTAAGCCCTCACGAGCCCCTAAGCCCTAATCCCACAACCAAATCCCTAAACACTACCCAACCCGCCCTAAACCCTAAACCCTAAACCCCAACCCTAAACCCTAAACCCTTATCATCCTTAAGCCCGTGGCCCGCTTGTGACATGCGCCGTTTTGTAACTTCAGGCTGGCCTGCCTTTCCTGGACTTTGGAGTACCATACTTTAATACTTTTTTCCTTTAAGCAACCATTTTGAAATAAAAGTCTATACTTTTTTATCCCTGGTTACTTAAAAGCTCAGTTTCTCGCAGCAGCGTGATGCAGGTGCCCATGGCATGTGGCACAGAGGGCAGCTGGGGTTTAGGGTTTGCTTCTACAGTCGTGCGAAGCTGGATGGGTAAGCAATTGAACAGGGCCAGTGCCGGGGCGGGATTTTGAGACGTGGTCCTTCTGAGGTGACCTGGTGCATACTCAAACATGATCATTCGACGACTCGTATCCACTTCTGCGCGCAGTGCAAAGCGAGGACACTTTCCTCGCGCGAGGACAGTGCACAAATTGCATATCTTTGCCTCCGAAGCCCCTAAGCCTATATGCCTAAACTCTCCCCAAGCTCCATGCGCACTGCCTTTACCCAGAGGCCCCATATATACTACCATGATGGAATTGCTTCAAAAAACTTGATAATTTGGGGACCTACTTCCATAATCCTAGTATATTGGTAAGTCTCCAAACTTGGGTTCCTTTTGAGGTCCTCAATAACATACTGTACAAAGGACTCTAAAGCAGACCTTAACTTAGAGGACTACGTATATGGAGCCTATGATGAGAATGCTTTGTACCATACTTGCAGACTTTTGGGACATGTTCCTTAAAGGAACCCTAACTTAAAGAATTACGTATATACTTGCAACCCTAAACCCCTGAACCCTAAACCCCTAAACCCTAAAACCCTGAACTCTAAAACAGCGATTGGAGGGCCTCTAGGTTCCCTACACCCTGGATCCTAAGGCCCTACAGGGAACTCCAGAAAGTTGGAATATGGATTAATGGTAGGATCCCCTATAATTTACCTTAAAGGGGTTACGATAATGATATTCCAACTTTCTGGCTTCTACTGTAAAGCCCTAAACCCAAAGCCCTAAACCCTTGGAAACCCTTATGAGAGTTTCCGAGAACAGGGGACCCTAGCATAGTACCCGAAATAGTAGGATCCTTATTTTAAGTACCCCAAAACAAGGTACCCCCTTGTATGTGCAAAAACATTGGCCCCACAGCGTCCCTTTCTGAAATTAAAACCTGAAACGAACCCGTGTAGTACACGATTTAACGGAAACGGAACCCTAGGGAACCCTGAGAACCCTTAAAGGAACCCTAAAGCCCTTATCCCGAAGCCCCGAAAGCTCTATGCCAACTGCCTTTGCAAGGCAGCGTCTCGATGAGGAAGAGCGGCGGAAGCTGAACCAAGAGTTGGAGGCGGCTTAGGGATCCTTTAAGGGACCGGAATTTAAGGGATCCCTGAAGGGATCCTTTTCGGGTTCCTTTGAGGGTTTAGGGATGTTTAGGGTTTAGGGCGTAGGGTTTAGGGTTTCTTTAGTTCTCTTAGGCAATGAACGTAATTTTGCCTATAATACCACTCCGAGGGAGTATTAAACTCTTAGATCTCTCTCTCTCTCTCTCTCTCTCTCTCTCTCTACAAACCATACATAAAGATGTATATATACATAGAGAGAGAGAGAGAGAGAGAGAGAGAGAGACGTTTTATTTCGCTTCTATAGGGGCTCCTAAGGCTTGAAGTTCCTTTACGCGACCTTTTGATGCGTTGTTTTCGAGGGTTTCTGAACGGATTGAAGATCTGGGGCTTGTTTAGGGCTTAAGGCGTACTTGGACCCCAAGGCCATTAGTTTACGTACTTTTGGGGGGTCTAGGTAGGGTTGAAATTTAGGATTCAGGATGCAAGGTTCAGGATTTAGGGTTGGGGAGTTTGGGTGTATATAGGTTTTTTGGGATTCGGGTTTCGTATATTTGCTGTGTGGTTCTCGAGCGCAGGCAAAAACAAGGATTTCCCTGCGTTTGTTAGGGGCTTTGCAAGGTTGTTTTACGGTCGTTTAGGTAGGGTTTAGGGTTTAGGGTTTAGGGTTTAGGGTTTAGGGTTTAGGGGTATTGCTGTACAGTACAGATTCCTAGGAATTCTGAGCCTGGTTTCAGTTTGGAACCAGCTTACGCCTTCTGCTTGAGACTAGTGCAACACCGCTTTGGGGGCAACTTCTAACCCAGACATTCCGAAATCCATTAATTGACGAATATACCTTGAAATATAATAATAAAAGCCCTGTTATGAATTAAGGTATATTCCTTGATTAAGGATTGTTGGAAGGTCTGGGAAACCCCAAGTCTAGGGGTCCGCATCGACGCGACAGAATCAACCGCCTGAGGTTTTGTGGTCAGCAGGCGAAACAGACACTGGCGACCTGTACCCTAAGAAACCTACCTTTTCAGGGTTCCTTAACATGATTTCCTTGTCTAGGTGCTTAAAAGATAGGTTATCTGGGGCTAAGGTGCGCCCTGCCTCCTTCCTTCGGTTTACTTGTCTTTTGGCGTCTCCCCTAAAAACCGAACAGTAGAAACAAAAAGCAACTTAAACCCTGAACCCCAAACCCCTGACCTTAAACCCTAAGCCTTCAACCCCGAATCCTAAACCCTAAGCCCTGAACCCTTAAACCTTGGGGACCCAGGCATTACAGGGCCGTGTAGGCTTCTTAGAGGGTCACACAAGACTCCGCTGCCTGCTGCTTTAAACAAGTAGTAAGGTCATTATACCATACTGTACCCCCAAAAGCCTGATTTCTTTTTACAGTTCAGGCTCCTATATCATGTTGCCGAATAAGCAGCCGTTGAATTCAGGCACCAAGTCGGTGCTTCGCTTCTCGAAGACCTGGGAGATCTTACCTTTTTGGTCTTTTGGTTTAGGGCCCAAGCCGCAAGGTGTCGGATTTAATTCAGACTTACTAACCCCAAAACCCTAAAACCCCAAACTTTAAGTCCTAAACCCTAAACCGTGAATAGTCGGGGTCTTGCCATGGCATTGCTGTTTCCCAAACACAGAGAACCGTTGGAAGACATCCCGGCCATTGCAGAGATGACAGGGGCAGTCCTCCGTACCGTCAGCAGGGACCGGACTCGGCCGGAGATCCTTACCACACCGATACGACACTACAATCTATGCTTTGGCTGCCCAAAAAATTTTGCAAAGTGTCGTCGCAAAGTGGGCAATAGCAAATCACTTTTGCCGACTACCTCGACTCGGCGCGGCTGTGCAATGTGTTGACCCGTTTGGCAATGGCGAGTCGGATTATCTGAGCATCCTAAGGCCTAACTGGAAACCCCAATCTATGAACCCTTTGGTTGTGCGAATTCAGTCGTTTCTTGTTCGGTTGAGATGTGATATAGACCCATGGTTGTCCTTGTGGGTCCTTGTGTAACCTTGAATTTACCGGACCAGCATTTTGCCTGCCTATAGTCCGCAGGCGCATGCACACAACAGGTTAGGTGCGTAGGTCGGAATGATCTTGGACGTGGTCATTGTTTAACCCTAAGCGTCCATGTACTCATATAGTATATACATTGGCCTTAATGTAACCCTATATGGGTACTTTTGGGGCGGGGCTCCTGTATCTCTATATGAGTACATGGACCCTTGGGGTAAAATATCAGCCTGGGAGCTCATGGCATGTATGTCCATGGCATTGGCGGCAACTTGTGGTCCGTCACATTGCGGCCATGTTGCAAATCACGCATGACGTCGAACTAGTGGAAGAGCATTTGATGCCAAGAGCAATTTGGGGGCTTTGTTGCTTGCACTCTGAAGCTCACACAACTCATGTCATTATTCACGGCTAGGCTTGGTAGCAGTCGGGGCTTCGAGATGTTTTGTTTGTTTGTTGCAAACATGCAAGGATTGGGTTGTCAACCCAAAGGTCGTTTCCGTCCAAGCCCAACCAAACACACATGAGATTTGGGTAGTTGTCGAAATTATGGTCCCTTTTTGGCTTTTTGGGCGCCTTAAATAATAGGTGCCGTATTATAATAGGGACCCAAAGCGGGACCCTAATTTTGACAACCACCCCCATGAGATTTGCTCTTGGCAACTGTGTCAGTCTCGGCCCCGAGCTCTAAGGTCGCGGCATGTAAGCCGTTCACCTCTGAACTTAGTCATTTTCGGTTGACTTTCGAGCCGCTAGCCTTGAATCCTCAACCCGGTTCTCCAGAGTCAGAGGCAGCCCAAACACCAGTGTTTGTCAAATGTCCCAACAGTATCGTGGGTGCGTGCTGTGGGGTTTGCGAGAACCCCGGTCAATGACCTGATGCAAAACTCTCACCCCTGTTTGTGGCCTTTCTAGGGTGTTGTATATGGCTTTGACGGGTTTTTGGGTTTATGGCATAGGTAGTTTATGGGCCTACTAATCTTGACAATGTTTTAGGTTGTAAAGTTTTTGAATTTGTGGTAAACTTGGATCCCCCAAGAGGCTCCTTATTACATGTTTGTACAAGTCCTTAGAAAGGTAAGTTATTTGGGGTTAAGGCAGGGTTTAAGATTCGATGTTTTTGTGGGTGTTCTCGAGTATGTTTTTCGTGGGTTGTTCGAGGCTTCTTTCAAAGGTTCCTCAAGGGTTGTATCATACTTGGAGTATCATGGGACTCGGTAAGTAAGGTTTCAAGTTCCTTACTCGGGGGGACACACAATTATAGGTTTAATTACCTTATGCATAGCCTGACTTACTGGGTCCCATGATCCTTCAAGTAGCGTCTACAGAGTTCGTAGGCTTTTAGATGGTTTCCGGTGGGAATCTTTAACGGTTCTGTTGAGGGTTTTTTGGGACTCTTAGGTGTAGGGTTCAGATTCTACAGCTTGGTGGGGGAAGGGCTGGCTTTGAATATTTTTCGTTTGCGCGGAGTTCCTTTCGCGTTATATAGACTTGTGGTATGGTTTTGGGCTTTCAGTGGTTGTGCCCGGAGTCTGCGCTTTGGACTTCTTGCATTCACCGAAAAGTTTCAAACCTACAAGCACAGCCGTCAACCCTAAATCCGAATCCAGCAACCCCTGCATACCCTAATCACTGACCCCCAAAACCCATCGTGAGCTTTCCCGCTCTCAACTGGGACCCTGAACCATACACTTTGAGATTGACCCCTCATTCCGACGCTCGATGGTACCGGCATGGCAGGAGATGAAACGGCAAGAGGAAGAGCGCCGTCAGGAGGAGGCTGTCTTGAGGGTGACGGTGCAGGGTTTAGGGTTCAGGGTTTGGGGGGCTTGGCAGGAGGTTTCGGATGTGGGGTTTATGGCGCGAGGCCTCAAAGTTTAGTTTGGGAGAACTTAGGAATAGGCATCATGTGGTTCGGGTTTTGACTCAGGCTGGCTTGAATTGGTAAGTTCAAAGGCCTGTATCCCTTATCAAGGCATCGTTGTTGTAAGTGGGTGCCTCGATTGCTGGTACCAGCAGCAGAGTATGTGCCCGGAACTCATATATACCCGAAACAGCCCTCGAAACGCCTTGCCATACACGACTCACCCTTGCGCAGACCCCTTAGAGGATCCAAAACGGAGCCCCTTTCCCACAAAAAGGGAATTCGACTATCACATTCACATGGCTGCCTCATTTTGAGATGGGTCTGGCTCTGAGACCTTTGAACGAGACCGCCATATAGACACACTAGGATGCCCAGTAGTACCCTTATTCCCTTTTTGTAGTCCTAGGTTCCTTATAAACTTATAAAGTTACCCAATACCAAAAAGAGAGGCCTTTTTATTCTTAGGTTACTGGGTATCCTAGACGAGACCGCCATATATAATATAGACACATGAAATTTTTGCTAAGACCATTATGGCAACCAAGGGGTTGAAAGTTCCTAAACAATGGGGTGCTAAGACCCTGCATCACACTCTCAATGCTTTTTGGTTCCTTACACCCTAAGCCCTCAACACTTTGACCAAATATCCCTTTCCTTCAAGTGACTGTTGGTTCCTGTAAACCTTAAACCCCCCATATATACTCAGAGTAGATTTCGGTACTTACACCCATAAGGGTGGTTGTCAAAACTATGGTCCCATTCTTGGGTAATTACCCTAAATGCTAGGTGCCGTATTGTAATAAGGACCCAACAAGGGAACCTAATTTTGACAACCATCCGATAATGTTTGGCCACATCGACCTGTAGGGGAAACCTATCATACGCGTCAACCCAAAGCCTTCAACTGAGGGGCCAAAACAGCACATGAGCATACAGTAAACCCTATCTACTATTTGCTTAAGAAACCGCCAAAAAATAAAAAATAATAATCCCTATATTACCCCCATAAGGAATATATTTTTTATTTTTTGGGGGTTCTTAAGCAAATAGTAGCTATAAAGTTGGAAACCGGATTAAGGCCACATAGTGCTGGGATTCCCTATGCAGTACTCTTGAGGATTGAGGCTGTGGGGTTTCCAACTTTTGGGCTTCTACTACCGTAAGCATAAGCATTCTACGGGGACATCCCGACCTTAGTGGGCCTCAGTATAAGGGGGTTTATATGGGATATCCCTATCCTAATTTTTGCTTATGTGCTTGCTTGTGGCCTTACCAACCTGAAAGATACCTTGTGTTGTATACCTCAGATTTTGAGCCCTATAAACCCTGAGGCCCTATATCTATACAACCCCTAGAAGAATTCTTGTAGAACAGGAACCTTTAAAGACCCCTCTTGGAGGATCATGGGACTTCGTAAGTAGGGTTATAAGTACCCGCAAGAAATATAATAAGTATAGTCACCTTATTTATAACCTTACACGCAACCTTAAACCCTAAACCCTAAAACCTTAAACCCTAAACCCTAAACCCTGAACCCTAAAACCCTAAGCGGCCGAAATCTGCGCATTCCGAGGAGGCTCGGCGTGAAGCGCAAGCCGCCGCCGAACGCGCCAAGCGTGAGGCGAGGTCTCGGGAGACGTGCGGCTGGGTTTAGGGTTTTAGGGTTTAGGGTTTAGGGGTTTAGGGTTTAGGGGTTTATGGGTTTAGGGTTTAGGGGTTTAGGGTTTACTTGGAGGCCCTGTTGACTTAGTAAGTCTACTTAGTATCCCCCAGAAACCCTATTATAATCTCATAACCCACCTTACTAACCCTACTTACTAAGTCAAAAGGGCCTCCAAGTAGGGTTTAGGGTTTAGGGTTTAGGGTTTTGGGGTTAGGGGTTAAGGGTTTAGGGGTTATAGGGGTTTAGGGTTTTAGGGGTTAGGGTTTAGGGGTTAGGGGTTTAGGGGTTTAGGGGTTAGGGTTTAGGGGTTTAGGGGTTTAGGGTTTAGGGTTTAGGGGTTTACTTGGAGGCCCTGTTGAGTTGACTTAGTAAGTCTACTTAGTATCCCCCAGAAACCCTATGATAATCTCATAACCCACCTTACTAACCCTACTTACTAAGTCAAAAGGGTCTCCAAGTAGGGTTTAGGGGTTTAGGGTTTATAGGGTTTTGGGGTTTAGGGTTTAGGGGTTAGGGGTTTAGGGTTTAGGGGTTTATGGGTTTAGGGTTTAGGGGTTAGGGATTTAGGGTTTAGGGTTTAGGGGTTATGGGTTTAGGGTGTGGGGTCTACCCTAAGGCCCCAAAGTAGTTCCTTTTTGGGGTTCATATATAGAATCGTAAAAGGTAATCCCAAAAAGGAACTACTTTGGCGGCTATGGGTGGGGTCTAGGATCTAGGGTTCAGAATCCCCGGATCGAGCAGTCTCTAGTCGAGCTCGCTATTGCGATCCTAGAAAAATGCCTACCCACCCAGGGTTTAGCGCCAGGGGTATTGAAGTGTCTCAACGTCGTTCATGGCGTTGATGTATCTCTGAACCTTATATAAACCCGCCCCCCCCCCAAAAAAAGACCTGAGCCTTTGTGTTTGTGAGTCGTCTCAATAGGGTTGATGTAGGATTGCAACAAGCCCTAAAGCTCCTTGTACTGTTCAAACAATGGGTTACTGACCTGCTATGGAGCTCCCTTCAAAAGGGGACCCTTCTTAAGCCTACTTCTGGCTCTCTTACAAGGGAGGCTCTCTTACAAGGGACCTTACTGACAGGGTCTAGATCTTCAAGGGTCCCCCAAAATCCTAACTCCTAAAACCATACTATATACCCCAAACCCGAAACTCTAACCCGCAGTCACACATTATTTAGGTAAGTGGAGCCCTCGGGAAGGTTTGCGTCTGTCTGGTTGTCGTCGGACCCTATAGACCCTGAACACTAGTGTTGTTTTTGTCATGCAAACGACCTGAAGTCGGTCCTTTAGTAAACGGGTCTCCGTTTAGGGGTTAGGGGTTCGGGTCGGAGTGCCACAAGTTTGGGTTGTTTAAGTTGTTCGTTTGTTCTTTTGCAGGTTTGCGAGCATTCAGGATTTTTAGGGTTGATGGGTTCAGGGTTTGCGGCTTTAGGGCTCCATTCACTACGCTTGCGGGGAAGTCTTGGGTGTTTTTGGGGTTTAGGATTCAGCGTTTGGTGTTAGGTTGAGGGGTGCTCTTTTACGATTGCTGGGTTCCGGGCGATCACGGATTCTCATGTCGTCTGTGTTTGGGATGACACTACTTTAAACCCTCGACTGCGTCCCGTCATCCTCTGACGAGAGCAGCCAAGGATCTAAGGAATACAGCTTTCATTATCCTCCAACACATACATTGCCTTTCATGTGGGTTGGTAGAGCTTTACCCGTAACATGTCTGGGACAGCTTGCGCCTGTGCGAGGCTGAAGAACAGCGCAAGCGCGAGGAGGACACGCCTGCTTTGACATGCACGTATAGAGGCCTCAAAAATACATTTAAAATGCTGGGGTCCGATATGGTCATAGGGATCCTGTTAAAGTTTAATTAGTCCGACCCCTGCATTGTAGGGTTTGTGGGATGTTGTTGAGGTTTGCAGTCTTCAGTCTTGTCTTTTTGTGTAACGATTCTGCAAAGACCGCCTGCACCCAGTTGAAATTCTTCGTCTGCTACCACCACTGCCTCGCTGCGGGGCCGCGCAACCGGGAGCACCACGCTTTCGTCAGCTGCCAAACACGACTGTTCCCGTCGCCTTCCCAGCGGGTCATCGACGAGATAGTCGCCAACCCCGCCAGCTGAAAAGGTGGGTCTGTTGGACCACAGGCAAACCTTTGAGACACGGTGGTGCCCTGAGCTGTTGTCAGGTTAGGGTCCACAGTGTCGGTGCCGCCGAGATAGTTCAGGCGAGAGCATGCACCATCTGCGGGGGCCTCAACAACGGGGCCAGAGGCCACCCAGGGCGTGTACTTGGAGGATCGTGGGACTTAGTAAGTAAGGTTATAAGTAGCTTAACTGGGGTTATAAGTAGTTATAAGTATAGTTACCCTAATTATAGCCCCAGTTACTAAGTCCCATGATCCTTTAAGTATGCTGCCACCATGGCCATCTTGTCCCACTGCCCCTTCTAAACACCGCAGACCAGATCACCCCCCACCTGAACCCCTTATAGTCTCTAACTCTATCGGCTAAGGTCATAATTATCATAGATCTCAAGCCACATACCAATCATATGTATACTGTATACTGTGTCTCCCAGCCACAGATGTCAAAGCTTGGAGTTTATGTCGGGGGAAGCTAGTGCTACAGTCTTGACTAAGGAACGAAGCCCTCAGCCCCCAAAACTTTCAAACCTGAAGTGCCGAATCCTAGACGCCAAATCCTTTATTTAGGCGTAGGGTTTCAAGTTTAGGGACAAAGCCCCACCCCAGGACACCGCTTCCTGCCGAGCATCCTATAGAAAACCCCCAACCCTCAACCCTAAACCCTGAACAGTAATCCCTCAACCCTAAACTCTACACCCTATAGCCCCTAAACCCTAAACCCTATAGATCCCTTTAACGAACCCCTATAGATCCCTTTTAGGACCCCTTTAAAGGAACCCCTGTCCAGAATCCTGAAACCCAGATCGTCCACCGAAGATACCACACCCCGGGCCCTTAAAGCACGGAAAGGAAGCCCTGCGCCCCTAAAGCCCCAAACCCTTAAACCTTAAACCCCTAACCCTCTAAACCTCTAAACCCCTTAACACCGAAACTCCGAAATTTTAGAGATCCCTTTGAAAAACCCTTGCAGTACCCTTTAAAGGAGCCCAAATAGCCCTTAAAAGGTACCCGAAATCCTTCAAATCCTGGCAAAAGAGGAGCGAAAGGTAGAAGAGGAGCGGCAGCGAATCCATGCTGAGGCGTCCTTGCTTTTGGGTTTAGGGTTTAGGGTTTTGGGGTTTTGGGTTTTAGGGTTTAGGGATTAGGGTTTTAGGGTTTTGGGTTCAGGGTTTTAGGGTTTAGGGTTTAGGGGTTCAGGGTTTAGGGGTTTAGGGATTAGGATTTAGGATTTTAGTTTAGGGGGCGGGGTTCAGGTTTAGGAGGGTTCAGGGTTACGGATTTAAGTTCAGGGTTTAGGGCGGCGTAGGGTGTGCGTGTCGGGTTTGGAGTGTTAGGGTGTAGATGTCGTCAGTGGCTGCATGTCCCTATACAGTAAATCCCATAAAGTTGGAAACCGGATTAAGGCCAAATGGAGCTGGGATTCCCTTTACATTACTCTTAAGGAATGAGGCTATCGGGTTTCCAACTTTTGGGCTTCTACTACTTGGAGGCCCTTTTGACTTAGTAAGTCTACTTAGTATCCCCCAGAAACCCTATTATAATCCCCATAACCCACCTTACTAACCCTACTTACTAAGTCAAAAGGGCCTCCAAGTATAGTCTTGAAGGAAACCTGAGGGCTCCTCGGGCGTACTTGTTTTTAGGGCTCTTACGGTTTGAAGGGGCGTGGCATAGACTAGGTTGGCCTCAATTTAGATAGTGTTCGGCCAAACCCCCCTCTTTTTTCTCAGGGTCCCAGCAGTATGAGGATCCCATCAAAAAGGCTTCTACCGCCGACCCGTTCAAGCATGGCATCCCCAATGAAGTCAGGAAGCGCCCAAATCCCCTCAACCTTTAGCCCTTAAGATAGCATCGCAGCGGGTGAGCAAGCAAGCTGATGGATTCTCGGGTTCAAGAGGTTATCATTCAGGGGTCTACATTAGGCTCAGAGAATCTGGGTGTCGGGGTGTACGGTTGTAGGGTTTCGGGATTCCGCTCAAACGCGAAGTCGTTCGCGGCTTTCAGCTCTGCTTGAGACAGATTGGGCCGGTGGAGAGAGGTGTTAAAAAAAAAGACCTTAAACTCAACCTTAAACCCTAGACCCTGAGCTCAACCCTAAACCACACCTTAGACCCTAAACCGTAAACCGAAACCCCAGGGCCTGGCCCGAGGCTTGCCGCCATCCAACTGCGTTTGGGAAACCGCCCACCCTGCAGCCCCTGTCGAAAAACCGCAGACATCAACACCCCTAAAGCTCAAACCCTTCAAGTAAGCGCGGCCGAGTGAGTAACTGCAGATCTAGAGGCTTAAACGAATTGCTTGTATATATATATATATATATATGTATGTATGCATGTATGTATGTATGTATGTATGTATGTATGTATGTATGTATGTATGTACATGTATGTATGTATATTTACATATATATGTAGTGTGTGTATATATATATATAGATATATCTTTCTTTTTCTCTCTCTCTATCTACCTCCTTCTCCTCGCATTTTATTTTGTTTAAATATGTACATCTTTGTTTTTTTTTAAATCTCTCTCTCTCTCTCTCTGTCTCTCCCTCTCTCTCTCTCTCTCTGTCTCTCTCTCTTTCTCTCTCTCTCTCTCTCTCTCTCTCTCTCTCTCTCTCTCGCTCTGATAGTCCTTGGGTGTTACTTACTATACTTTAAACCTTGCCCACAGTCTACTCTGATCATTCAGCCCCCCACAAATTGAACCCCTTCGAAACCCTTATGAAGAGCCATGGCAAACCGTCAAAAACCCTGCAGACGCCGATCAAATTCCTGAGGCCTTTGGAGGGTCTACGGACAAGAGCTCAGGGGAAAACCCCTAAACCTTAAACCTTAGCCTTTATATTGAACCCTAAACCCCTAAACCCAAAGGGTTTACGGGCTCTGCTCGCTTGGTCGGAGGAGCAACGCCGACGCGCGGACGCCGAGCGTCGGGCGGAAGAGGTGCCTGGCATGGGCATGGGTCCTTGCTCAGGGTTTAAGGTTAGGGGTTTAGGGTTTAGGGTTTGGGGTTTGGGAGGGTTCAGGGTTTGGGGTTCAGGGTTTAGGGTTTTGGGGTTGCAGGGTTTAGGATGTTGGGTTTGGAGCTTCTTGTTCAGGTTTTAGGGGTCAGGGTTTAGGGTTTCCTGGTGTAGGAGTTGGTGGATCTTTGGTTTGGGGTTTCGGGCGTGGGAATTATGGTATGAGGTTTAGGCTGGTTCACTGTTTTACACCCTCATAACGCCCTAAACGGCCTTAGTATCTGCGCTCATATCTGGTAGAGCCAAGAACAGCCCGAGACATCAAACAGCACCCCATTGCCGGGTCCAAGAAGTTACATCGAATCAGATTGTGGAGCATATCAGACGACGACTATGATTCGCATTGTTATACGGTTTTGGGTTTATGGTTGAGCATGAAGTTTCGAGCCAAGACTAACCCCCCTTTCTTAGGTCATAGATCCATATGCAGGTTTCATGGTGTCTCAACCAACTTCTAAACACTGACAGCCTCCTAAAACCACATACACCTGACACCATAGCATTACCGGGCCTCAACCCATGAAGCCCCAACCCAAACCCATAAACCCAATCCTCAGCCCAAATAGAGGGGCCTTAACAATTAGAATAGGGCTTTGGGGCGCAATGTACTATATTCACAATAAGGAACCCCCAAAATTGTATATGTAATTGTCAAGGCCTCTATACTACACCCTCACCACCAGAAAGCCCCATGGAACCCTATCAGCCCTTTTGAGAGCTTCAGAGCCCTGTGAAGCCAGAACCCCTGGCGTGGTTTAGGAATTAGAGTTTAGGGTTTACATAGGGTGACTGTAAACCCCAGAAAGTTGGAAACCGGACTTAAGGGCAATTAGTGTTGCGATTTCCTACACAGCACCGTTAAGGATTGAGGCTGGTGGGTTTTCAACTTTTGGGGTTCCACTATAGGCCAGATCCCTGGCTGGATCCCAAAGTAGATCCCTTGAGCGTGTTCCTCTAAAGTGCTCTTCAGCAACTAGGTTCCCAAATCACGGGTTCTATGTTCTGCATCCTCCCGGGGGTCGGGGAAGTCACTGCACCCTAAGCCCAACAAGACGCTAATACCTATGACAGGTCCATGAAGCCCTGTAAAACTCCGTACAAGTCTATAGAGCACAATGCAATAGCTTGTCACACGCATCTTAAAATCCGAATACAAGCGCCAGAACATTGCAACCCTCCAGCGTTCCATAAACCGAAAGCCCTGAACACTTGTTTGTAAAAGCTAAACCATCTTGGAGAAGGAAAGCCTCCTGCATTGTGCCACATGCGATGAGCCGACAGCAGAGTGCAAGGATTTGCATGAACCCATGGTTGCGGAGATAATCGTGACCAACCGAGACGCCAAGCCCCGTAAGGGCTCCTTGCACAAACAGCGTTGGCAAAGGATCGCGGCATATCGGAGAGAGCTTCTCCTCAGTCTCTTCGATCCGTTCGAGGATGGCTGTGTGCAGCGCGACACGGAAGCCAAGACCGAGACTGAAGTGGTCTGTAGGAACATGATGCCAGGCATCAGTGGGAGGAGTCTGGCTCTAACTTACGACGCGAAGGCCGGAAGTAATGGGTTTTCGCTCGCGGCTGTCCGGGCTGTGCGAGACGTCGCACTGGAGCGCCTAGACATGCTGCTTGAGAGCGAGCTCCGAGAAGAGGCTAAGCTCGTGATTGGAGCGTTGGGTGCTTCCCACAGTCTTTGTACTCCTGACCTGGCAGCTCAAGAAAGCTCCTCGAGTGAGTCATCTGGTGGTGAAGATCGATAAGAGGACCTGACTCGGTCCGTCGAACTCACGAAAGAGCTGTTCGAGCAAAATCAGAGGCCCGTAATCGCAATGGCCACCGGTGGTCAGAAAACTACGACCACACCGGCATGGATCGCTGCTACTTTCCAGGCAGTGGTAGTGGTTATCGTGCCAAAAGATGCACTGGCCCAGTCAGCTTGCCAACATGTGAAGACAATGTCATGGGCTGGCGAAGTCAAACTCGGGGCACACACACACACTGCCTTTTTGCAGCCGAAGCTTCCCCTTGAAGAAGCGGCTGATTGTCATCTGATTTGCCGACCTGAGGGCCGGGCCGCCGGTCAGTGGCTCAGACAAGCGGCTTTCGGGTGTAGGGGGTAGGGATCTATAGGGTTCCTGAAAGGGATCTATAGGGTTCCTTAAAGGGATCTATATAGGGTTCCTGAAAGGGATCTATAGGGTTCCTTAAAGGGATCTATAGGGTTCCTGAAAGGGATCTATAGGATTCCTTAAAGGGATCTATAGGGTTCCTGAAAGGGATCTATAGGGTTCCTTAAAGGGATCTATAGGGCTCCTTAAAGGGATCTATAGGGTTCCTTAAAGGGATCTATAGGGTTCCTTAAAAGGGATCTATAGGGTTCTTTAAAGGGATCTATAGGGCTCCTTAAAGGGATCTATAGGGTTCCTTAAAGGGATCTATAGGGTTCCTTAAAAGGGATCTATAGGGTTCTTTAAAGGGATCTATAGGGTTTTTTCAAAGGGGGTGTAGGTGGTTTGGGGTTTAAGGTGTGGGGTTTCGGGTTTAGGGGTAGGGGGTTTAGGGCTTATAGGGCTTAGAGGTAGGGGGTTTTAGAGTTTAGCAGCGGAGGACCAAACCATGAAGGCGCCCAGGGACATCTGAAAAACGCAGAGTAACACAAACCAGAACCTAAACCACCAAACCTTAAGCCCTAGGCCGTGAAAGCCCCTGAACCCTAAACCCTGAACCTTACATTCTTAAACCCTATAAACCTTAAACCCAAAGAGCCACGTCAGGCCCGCCGGGAGGAGGCGCGGGCGGCCGAGGAAGCGCGGCTGCGGAAGGTGGCCGAGGAGACGTCGGGGAGAGCTACAGGGGTTTAGGGTATAGGGGCTTGGTGTATAAGGTTTAGAGCCTAAGGGGTTGTTTTGGATGGGTTTTAGGGTTTTAGATGGTTTTAGGGTTTAGGGTGTCGGGTTTTAGGATTTAGGGTATAGGGTTTCTATACCTCGGAATTGCAGGGTTTTAAAGGTTGTTGAAAGGGCATCAAAAGTGTTATGAGGAATACTTAATGCCGCTTAATATCCCATGCTGTTTGATAAGGGCTTTGGGCTGAATATTCGTAGGATGTACACCTTAGGTCATCGGGCTGCAGAGAGCATTTATCGGGTTTAGAAGGAATAGTAGAAGGGTCAGAATCTTAGTATGACATAACGCCTATTCCCCGATTGAGAGGGGTATTGGGCACTCTCGATCGAAGTATTGCGCCTTCTTCTTTTCTATTAGGGCTTAGTGTTTAGGGTTATCAGAAGAGAGCGGTCGACTGTGGGGCCTGGGTTTGGTTTCAGTGCTTTTTATCGGGTTTCAACGTTAATAAAGCAGGAGCTTGTGTTTTGTGTCGCGTAAAGCACATACCACAAAGCAAGCATCACAAGTGTTTTTCGGAACAGCTTATTCGAGCTGTGCAAAATCGCTCTCCAACAGGCTCCACACGAGTGTGTAGGTCGAGCCCCTTAATCTAGGTTCTTGTGTAGCAGATCTTACAAGCAGAAAACGCTGTAAATATCGATGAATTCAAGACTCTCTAAAGAACGTCTTAAGGTAAACTACATAAGCTCGACAGTTTCTCTATGCAGCTCTGATAATCGGGCCTTTTAGATTCTGGACTGTCTACCCAAAGCAAGCTTAGCCAACACCGCTGTTGGTAACAGTGTTTGAAACACCAATGTAGAGACTCAGCCTAATTAGCTGTCGAATTGCATTGGCATAGGGTTAACGAAATGTGGATGCACATAAGGGCCCTTGTTTTTGCGCGGTGAAGCAAAGTAAAGATGTGAGCGGGTTCAGCCTATGTACCTGTATAAAAGACTACAAAACACAAACTGTAATCGATGAAGATCTGGCTGCTGTCCTAGACTGGAATCCTACTTGTGTTGATGCTTATCCGATTCTGGCTTCTTCCGATACCCTTGTTCATAAGGTACCCCGTACCCCTTCGAAATAGCCAGTATTTGGATCAAAATCATTTGGATTAGTGAAAAATGCTGCACTGGATACCGGGTCGGTTCCAAGCTATAACGGATCGTCCTCCTATAGTTCCTCAAACCGGTTTGGTCCAGGCCGTAGCACGCTCTCCATCCCTACACATAGCCTTACAAGAGATTTTGTACAGTTGAAATACTAAACACAAACATCTTGTGGTTTCACTCGATGAGCCTGGACGTATCAGCCGCACGCTGCTGCAGTGCGTTTATCTCTGTATACACAAAAGAGAAACACACGGGCCCGATTCCTGTTGCGCTTAAACGACCCACATGTTTACAAACAACCCGCAAGTTTATAAGCAAGGCCCGGTATTTATAAACAACCCGTGAAAGTGTTCATAGAAGGACAAGCAGAAATCACCGCAAATACCAGTGTTTATTGATTTCAATTTATCCAACCAGGTCTTGGGGTATCTCACATTAACTCCACACTTTCCTCCATTAAGAAAAAGTTTTGTGACCAGCACTTAAGACTTGAGGGTTGGCGTCAATTGGGAATGGCTGCGCGCGTCTCGGGCGGATGGTGGATTGGTCGGCGGTTGTACCTTGTGGTGAACGTGCTGGTGGTGAGGGGGGGGGAGGGGGGGGGTGGCAGGTGTTGGATGTTGCCCGCACCATACCAAGACCTCTGGCGCCCCCGCCCCCCCCCCTACCTCGAGCGAAGCGTTTGTTTATAAACAGCGCCTGTGTTTATAAACAGCCGTCGTGTTTATAACACAGTAAAGGAAAACTAAAACAAATTTAACAAACCAACAAACCAACACACCACGACAAGAATCCATGACAAGAATCCTTGACAAGGCGATACAGACATCAATCAATTCAACAAAAGATGCGTGAACAGAAGGTTAAGAGCAGCAAGTAAGCATCACGAGCCCGATCCAAAGGCCTACGTAACTTGAAAAACTCCTTATACACAAACGCAGGCCCCAGGATCGACCCTTCTGTATCCGAATATCCAAGCTATGTCACTATTGAGTGCAAGTGTTCACTGTAACTAAGATTACTACCAATAATATTGTGCTGCTTTATGTCTGTCTGCAAGGGGGTTTTTGTCTTAGGTGCGTTTTTGAGGTCTTATCTTGGTACTGGTACCCCTAAACCCTAAACCCTAAACCTTAAACCCTAAACCCTAAACCCTAAACCCTAAACCCCTAAACCCTAAACCCTAAACCCCTAAACCCCTAAACCCTAAACCCCTAAACCCCTAAACCCTAAACCCTACACCGCCCAGTCCACACAACTCAACCCCCCGAGACCCTCAAACCATAAACCCTACGGCAAGCCTAAACCCTTACGGCCTGAATCCTACTTGTAGGGCTTTGAGTTTGGCGTTTCGGGGTTCAGGGTTTGATGGCGTTGGGTTTAGGGTTTCGGACAGGTGGTTCAGGGGTTAATGCTGGGGGGTTCAGGGTTTAATGTTGGATCCGGATTAACAACCCCCCCCCCCCCGCTGTCAAGGTTGGCCCGGTTGAACTTGTTCATGGGTTCAAGTTTTTCCCGGCCCCCCCCTGATTATGTGGGGATGGGGTTAATTATTAAGTATAGTAGTAAGTAGATAGAGAGTACTTAGTAAAGTATTGCAGTCGTACAATAGGAGTACAGTAGTATAGTTGTAGTACAGTAGTATAGTAGTAGTACAGTAGTATTACAGTAGTAAAGTAGTAGTACAGGAGTACAGTAGTACAGTAGTAGTACAGTAGTATAGTAGTATTACAGTAGTAAAGTAGTAGTACAGTAGTACAGTAGTAGTACAGTAGTATAGTAGTATTACAGTAGTAAAGTAGTAGTACAGTAGTACAGTAGTACAGTAGTAGTACAGTAGTATAGTAGTATTACAGTAGTATAATAGTAGTATAGTAGTAGTATAGTAGTAGTACAGTAGTATAGTATTATTACGGGGCGGGGCCTGCAAAGGGTAGCCTTGGAAAACTTGACAAACCTACTCTTTTTATATACGGTTTAATTAGGGAACCACCTGTTTCTGGCAGCAGAAGATATCACCGAAATCCCAGGGATCCCAAGGCCAGGGATCTATGACCCTTCCATCTCAAAGCTTCGGGCTTTCTAGGTCAAAGCCAAGGGCCTGCAAATCCCTGGTCCCGGGCCGGACCCTGTTAATCGGGGGTGGTTTCCTGCTATTCGGGGGGGGGTCGGGGCCTGCAAAGGGGTAGCCTTGGAAAACTTGACAAACCTACTCTTTTTATATACGGTTTAATTAGGGAACCACCTGTTTCTGGCAGCAGAAGATATCACCGAAATCCCAGGGATCCCAAGGCCAGGGATCTCTGACCCTTCCATCTCAAAGCTACGGGCTTTCTAGGTCAAAGCCAAGGGCTTGCAAATCTCTGGTCCCGGCCCGGACCCTGTTAATCGGGGGCGGTTTCCTGCTATTCTGGGGGGGGCGGGGCCTGCAAAGGGGTAGCCTTGGAAAACTTGACAAACCTACTCTTTTTATATACGGTTTAATTAGGGAACCACCTGTTTCTGGCAGCAGAAGATATCACCGAAATCCCAGGGATCCCAAGGCCAGGGATCTCTGACCCTTCCATCTCAAAGTTTCGGGCTTTCTAGGTCAAAGCCAAGGGCCTGCAAATCCCTGGTCCCGGGCCGGACCCTGTTAATCGGGGGGGGGTTCCTGCTATTCGGGGGGGGTCGGGGCCTGCAAAGGGGTAGCTTTGGAAAACTTGACAAACCTACTCTTTTTATATACGGTTTAATTAGGGAACCACCTGTTTCTGGCAGCAGAAGATATCACCGAAATCCCAGGGATCTGAGCTCTGCTGGACATGCGCTGGTCTATTGAGGAAAAGTCTGCCATCATGAGTTCTTTACGGTTTAGGCTTCAGGGTTTGGGGTTTAGGGTTAAGTCATAAGCCTCTAAATCCCCTAAATCCTTATTTCGGGGATTTTCGGGGATGGCCCCGTCTAATCGGGGGGGGGGGGGGTTTAAATGAGCTCCGGTACTATAGGGGTGGGGTCTGATGGACTTCTTCATTAAGCCCATGACAAGCCCGGGACCTCCCCGTCTAATCTGGGGGTGTATCTTAATCCGTAAACAACATTAGGGTGGTTAGGGGGTCGGCAATTTGGGGTGGTTCAGTTGCTTATGGCTTTGTGGACGAGGAGTTTAGGGTTTAGGCCTTTAGGGTTTAGGAGTTTAAGGTTTAGGAGGTTAGGGTTTAGGGCTTAGGAGTTTAGGACATTCAGGGTTTAGCGGCTTGTGGATTGTGGTTGGGGGTCTAGGAAGGCTTAGGGCTTAGGGGCTTGGTTTAGGTTGCGCTCCAACCCCTCTGCAGGAGGATGCAAGAAATCGGGAGAAGGAGATTCGAACCTCGGCAGCATTCTCGCTTCGGCCGTTCTGGGACTTTACTTGGAGGCCCTTTTGACTTAACAAGTAGGGTTAGTAAGGTGGGTTATGGGGATTATAATGGGGTTTCTAGGGGATACTAAGTAGACTTACTAAGTCAAAAGGGCCTCCAAGTAGGGCCTGTTCGAGAAGGTTTTTGTCTGCGGTGTGCGGGGATCATGGCTTCGGGACTTTGCCCGAAGCTCGCAAGCCTTTTCAGTATCGCCCCCCCACCCCCCCATCCGCCCCCATCACGTCCATCCCGAAACAGAACACCAACCACAACACCACAAACCTAAGCTCTTCATTCTCAAAGCCATGCGAAGGTGAGCGCATTTTGGGGAGCCTGGCTGCCTCTTGACTGATTTGCTTGGCTCTCCGGGAACGAACCCCTAAAACCTTAAGCTCTGAAGCTTAACGCCCCCCAGCTACCCTCTTATATACGCGAAATACCCACTATAAAGGACCACAAGGGCTCTATTAAAGGGGTTTTGGTCCTGGTAAGTGTTGAACCTTTCTTTCTTCCTAGTAGTAGCGTAGGCAACCGTTAACCTTTTTTGGGTAGTATAGTCCCTATATAATCCCTATATAACTAAAAAGGTTAACCTTTAGTTCCCCATGATACCCGACAAGTAGGTCTTGGTATTGGCAAGGGCAGTCTGGGATGCCACCCTCGTGCAGCCTGACACATACGTCAGCGAGCCACTCGTGGCCCTTTATGGGCAAGCTTACATGTAAGGGCAAGTGCGCCCGATGCATGCACCGCACCTGCCAGGCCGTTCGTGAAGATGGACGAGAAGAAAACGAAGCAGTGCTGGTGGCAGAGCCGAACTCAGCCCGGCGGATGTGCCCACTTATGCGGAGCAGTTCAACCAACGGCTGCTGGAGCAAGGGCTCACTACACCGCAGGTTGAAGTGAGGTTCGACCGGGTCTCGGGCTGGGTGACAATCCCGCCCGGGCGGAAGGGACTGCGCAGCGTTGACCCGCCACGTGTCGGCAGTCCAACGTCGGGAACAAATCCCAACTCAAAGTTTCAGCGCGGCTGTTTGGAAGGCCAGGCAGCTGTTAGCGATAAGCCTTGCAACGCTACTCCGGACCAGGGGCGTAGAGCGCGGTCAAACGGGGTAGAGCGGGGGGCACCCAGGCTACACTGCGGGCAGGGGGTTCGGGGTGTTGGTCGGCGATGGACACGAGTACCTGTATTGGGAAAGTGAATTACCTTAACGGGTAGATTCGCAAACTGCATCCCTTCGGACACTTTGTCTAGGTTTAGGACCATGCGGCTCTGCCATCCGGGCCTGGGGAAAGAAAAACAAAAAAATCGACCGGGTCTCCGATTCGTGATGCGAGTGCCGAGACCCTTCGCCCTAGTGTAGCGGCCTTATAACAATTACTAACACTGTTTTTGAGGGTCCTTGTTGTAACTATAGTGTAATGGGCCCCGAAGCTGTGCAGTGTCTACCTTCACTTTGTTAAGGCGTCCACAAGACTCATAGCGCTCATCAAAAAATCACAGGTTAAGCCGTAAATATACAAGCCATAGAGCCCTAAACCCTAAACCCCTAAACTCGAAACCTCAAAACCCTTGAAATAGCCGAGCTGTGCATGGGGGTTCTGGAGGGCCCTTCGACCGGCTTTGGGGTTTAGGGGTTTGGGTTTTAGGGTTTAGGGGTTTAGGGTTTAGGTTTGCCGGTTCTTTATGATTTGTCAAAGGCCTGCTTTGGGGTCCCTGCGGCTCCAGTTGCTCATATCTTGCGGGGTATACCCTGCCTTAGCCCAAGTAGCCTGCCTTTTCTAGGGTTCCTTATCGTAATTTCCGTTGATAGGCCCTTAAAACCTGGACCCTCGAAAACCTTTATGGTTTTTGATGGTCCAGGTGTGATTAAAGTGTCATAACCTTGCTATTGAGCCCCAAACGCTTCGGATTAGGGGTTACGCGTTGGGCTTCATTGTACCCGAATTGGGATGTAGGATCAAAGTTCAAGTGATTCTTGTAGCTTCGTTTGTTCGCGTTTCAGGTTCCGAAAGCCCTAAGCCTAAACGGGTTGAAACCTGAACCGCTGTAGAACCCCGAACTAAGGAGCTGGGGCAAAGTCGCGACGGGTATGTCCTTCGTCGCTCGGATTTGGATGGTGTGCTTTTCACCGAACCCTGGGTTCTAAACCCTTAGGTTTCATTGGCTTCAAAGGGGCTCTGCAAGAGTTGTTATACGGTTTCTATACGGGTATAAGGGGTGTTGCGGCGTCTTAAGGTTTTGCGTGGTGTGCTTTGTAGTGCTCGATAGTACGGCTTCATAGGGTTCTTACCGTTTCTGGTGTCTTGGGAAAGGTGTAGAGTTTCTACGTAGGGTTTAGCTTAAGCTTCTGGCCCGAAACACTTTGCGGGCAGGCAGCCTACGACACGGCAGTTGTTATGAAGGTTCAATAGCTGTAAGACTTTGCAGCCCATAGTGACCCCAATGAGGCGATATTGTAAACTTGCAAGACGTAGTGCTTTTCGATGGCTTTTCTAGGCAGACTTCAGTAAAATTGCCAACCTTGTCCAGCTGATCTGTAAGATAACCAACTCGGTGTGCCCAATTCCTTGATGTCGGCTCGATTTTTTCATGATTCAAATGTCCACACCCTCAATATCCTAAACCGTGAACATTAAGTCCTACGACCCTAAGACTCTATAAAACCCTATAGCTCTGGACCGTTTGCTCTTTGAGCTCCACGGGTTCGGGTCCAGGCACCGCCATCGCCGAAGGCGAGAGCGTAGGCTGGGGCACCAGCGTCTGGGTTTTAAGCTTGTGCCGGAGGGTTTGCATATATGCTGGTATGTATGCAAGCATACATGCATAGATACATCCACGCATACCTGCATACATACGTACATACGTATACTCTCTTGGACCTAAAATTGCATAGTATGTGCGGGCTCCTTGGTTAGGAAATGTGGGTGTCTCTCACCAGGAAGAGTGTGAAGGGTTGAAGAGTATATCTTTGAGGTCTAGAGTTGAGTATGCTTAGTATGCAGACACAAATCCCTGAAAACTCCAACCCTAAACCCTATGAACTCCAAACCCCAAAGGGAATTCCAGAAAGTTGGAATATGGTTTCACGATAGGATGCCTTATAATTTACCATAAAGGGTTTAGGATAAGCATATTCCAACTTTCTGGCTTTTACTTTAAACCCGAAGCCCATTGGGCTAAGGGTCTAGGGTCTAGGGCCTGGGCATTGGACACTCATGTGAACTCTCACGCCGAAGAGTCCGTTTCCAGCGCTTTCAAGTACCTAGAGCCTCACACCCTGCCCCGAAAAACCTACTTTTCAAGATAACCATAAAACCAGGTATCCTAAAAACGGTAGGGCATGAGCTCTGGGTAAGGCTTTTGGTGACTGCTGTTGGTTAGTTTTGTCAAGTTTTGTCATGAAATCGTTTACATGGATCGCAAGTCAATGTTCATTTGCTTTCCAAGCGGGGTAGAGAGAAGCCTAACCCTGAACCCTTACAACGCGATTCGAGGCTTTGGGTTTGAAGGTTTTGAGGTTCAGGGTTAGGGCTTAAGGCTTGTGGTCGGCTTCAGGACTACACCCTGCAACTGAAGGGGTACAGCCTCATGTGTTGTGGTTCTTGGGCCTACGAGAAAATCTTGCAATACTACGAAATTTTAGATATCGCTGTAGGTAGGAAGTATACCCCAAACTCTAAATCTTAAGCCCTAAGCGCCGATCCCTATTATCTGCGTCGCTAACCTCAAACCCTGCCTGTAGCTCCCAAAATCTACAGTTTGAAGGTTACCCCAAGGGTCCAAGTATCCAGTAATCATATACTCTCCAAAACCCTAACCTATATTACTACAATCCTCAGAGCCGAGTCCCAAAATGTCTCTACCCCCCTTAGAACCATAAGAAAAATACTATGTTTAATGTTCTTTTGGGTTTTATATGCACAACAAATAATTCCCAGGGAGACTTTAGTTTATTGGGTCCTTTGGACCCTTGGGGTTAAGACCACACAGGATTGAGCCCTGGAAGTCGCCGGTATAGAAGAAGAGGTTGAAAGCCCTAATCAAACCCTAAACCCCTACTTAGTAGCTGAGTAGGTAACCTTGAACCTTTTGGGGCTTGTATAATCCTACCATAGTTGAAAAGGTTATAACCGCGTACTCAGCCCCTCACTCTAAATCCTAAACCCTAAACCCTAAACCCTAAATCCTAAACCCTAAACCCCTAAACCCTAAACCCTATACCCTTGTAACCCCTAGACATGTATAGAAACCTTCCTGGCGCCTCCCAGGCCTCCATTCAGAGCTGGCGCCCCTCCGATCAGCCCTCGCAGAGGTGGGCAGCAACCCAGAAACGCCAACCCTAAACCCTAAACCCTACACCGTGGTTTAGGGTTTAGGGTATAGGGTTCCTTTACGGCATGTTTTGAGGGATCCTTTCGGGGTTCCTTTACGGCATCCTTTCAGGGATTTTTTGGGGGTTTCTGGCATCCTTGAGGGGTTCCTGTACGGCCTGTTTGAAACTACGGCTGATGATATAAACCCTGCATTACCCAGAATAAGGAATATACCAAAATTCTCATAGTTTGGGGTTCTTAAGGTAATGCAGGATTTATATCATCAACAGTAGTTTTCGGTGTTCAGGGTATACGGCTCAGTTGTGTAGGGTTCTCACTCTGTTCCGTGCCTCTCAGTATGATTTTGTTGGTGACTGTTTAGCGTTGAACCCTAGACTCTAAACCCTATACGCTTGAGGGTTCGAGTTGGCGGGATCGTGAGGGTTTGGGCAACAAGGGTTTTGGTTGGGGGCTTGGGGTTGTTTCACCATAGTAGACTGAACAAGCAGTATAGTACTCTCTCTTAGGGTTTCGTAACCTTTTGATGAGGACTAGGATAAAGTAGCCGAGTTGGAACGCAAAGACCTGAACCCTGGAGCCCAAAAGCACCTTAAAACTCCACCCTGAACCCTGAAACCCTAAACCCTCAAACCCCTAAACCCTAAACCCTCAAACCCCTAAACCCTAAACCCTCAAACCCCTAAACCCCCAAACCCTAAACCCCTCAAACCCCTAAACCCTAAACCCTTAAACCCCTAAACCCCCAAACCCTAAACCCCTCAAACTCCCAAACCCCTAAACCCTGAAACCCTCAAACTCCCAAACCCCTAAACCCTCAACCCCTCAAACTCCTAAACCCCCGAAAACCTAAACCAAGGAGGGACTTCCAGGCCCTCCTAGGCTCCTACACACGATATCAGGGTTGGCTTTACCCTAAGAGTCCAAAGGACCCAAATGAGGTACTGGGGTGTCGGATAGTAGTTATGTAGGTTACTATTTGGGAGGGTATATGATTATTAGGTACTTGGACCCTTAGGTTTAGGGTTTACTATAGGCTTTGGGGGGGCTCCTTATTGTAATTATGGTATCTTGGCGTTCTTCCGGTTGACTCTTAGGGCTTTAACTTTGTGGGTTTCTACATGAACCATAATACGGAGGCTAAAAGTTTAACTTTTTGGAGGCCTTCAGAAGTAGCCAAGGTATATTATACCACAAAGCCCTATTCTAATGACTGAGGCCCCTATACTAGGGTTAGGGAGCTCTGATAAAGAAAGCCTACACAGTTACAGTAAGCAGCTCCACGCAGTCTAGCAAACCGTAATTCCAAGTCAATTAAAAACCCTTGTAGATCCCTTGTAAGGAGCCGCATAGATCCCTTTGAGGAGCCCTTTCAAGGAACCCTTACCAAGTCCCATGGTCCAAGTACAAGAGCATACAGTAGAAGCCCACAGGTTGGAAACCAAATAGCCTCCTGAAGAGTACGTAATGTATAGGGGATCCCAGCACTAATTGTCCTTGATCCGGTCTCCAACTTTTGGGGGTTTACTATACCCTAAAGCCTAAACCCCTAAGCCCTAAGCTTTCTACCCTGAACCCTAAGCCCTAAACTCCTAAACCTTAATCCCGGTTTCCAACTTTATGGGGTTTGCTGTAAAAGAAACCATGCACCACCCGTCAGCCGCCATCACTGGCTGTGTGTCAAAATACTTTACCCGACACAAGCCCCCAAAGCAGCACTTTAAGGGCATTGGGGTTTGTTAGTTTAGTGCCTAGGGTTTAGGGTTTAGGGGTTTAGGGGCATTGGGGTCAAGAGTTTAGTGTGTCTAGGGTTTCAGGGTAAGGGGTTTACGGCTTGTTAGTACGACTCAAGGTCTTGAAGTAGACCAAATTGGAGCTCCAGGGCCCTTCCGAAAGCTTCATGGAGACGACCCTTATAGAGACCATGTCATTGCATTTGTGACAGGGTCTAGGGTTTAGATGTTTTACTCTGAGTTGCAGTTCAAAGGGGTCTATGTACCAATCTAGTAGGTATTTACGCCCTAAAGCCGTATGTTGCCTTTTGGCAGGTTTTAAGTGTTTTTGGGATGCCTTGACTTTGTCTAAACCTAAGCCCCTAAACCACTGAACCCCTAAACCCTAAGAGGTGTAGGGTTTAGGACCCCGAACCCTAAACTGTACTTCCCAGTGCTTCATCAGCTTCTGGGGAACCGACCGGTCGTGTCAGTGTCCAAGCAGGGAGCTTTGCTCATCATGTTGGTTAGATATTAGAGGGGCCTGAAAAATTACAATTTTTTGGTGTTCCTTATTGTCGTTATCGTGTATTCTGCCCCAAAACCCTATTCTAATTATTAAGGCCCTGAATTAAACCTCTTTAAGGATCCCCATCAATATTACGATCCTTATGGCAGGCCTGTAAAGGCTATCAGGTGTCCATCTATCTGTATATATATATATATATAGAGAGAGAGAGAGAGAGAGAGAGAGAGAGAGAGAGAGAGAGAGAGAGAGAGAGAGAGAGGGTTTGGAGTAGTTAGCACCATTGTTCTCCAGGGCTCCTGAATAAAAGCATACAGTGCATCGCAAAGCCCTGTTCTAATGCTTTAGAATGCCCCTATATGCTACCTCGTTGAGGAGGCCACATCCCCGCAGGGATCCGAGTCCCTTCCATTTAGTGCCAGACATGCTGCGGATTCGGGCGGTGTCGGGTGAAGACCTCGATGCGTTTGACTTGGCGAACTTCCTCGAGTCCTTGCCAGCAGGCATCTTCATAGCTGAGTGAGTACATGTTACGCTTTTGTGGAAAGCCGCCATATAGCCAACCAAAGTACAGTTTACACGTTTATCCCTTGTAGAACTGAGATTTCAGTTTTTTTGGACCAGCAGCTAAGGCATGCATCCTGTCCGGGCATTGAAGCAACACTTGTGTGGCTTGTGCGGGCTGTCAAGGTTCAGGCAAAGGCTTTTGTTTCTGGATGATGATGTGGTTCTTCATGATGAACACACGATGAGACCCGGTGAAGTTCAGGTCGCACGTCTAAACTTCTGCCCAGCATCTAACAAGCAAGTGACAGCGCTCCGGGATGCCGCAAGAAGCGGCCGAGCAGCAGAAGTGGATAGTATTCTACAGAGGCCGCAAGACCCAGATTCTGTATGTTTGGTCAGCCAGCACCACTGATTGTGGCAGCCGAGCACGGCCACCTCGAGGTGACACGCCTTTTGCTCGAGGCCCATGCGGACAAGGACAAGGCCGATGAGAATGGCGCCACCCCTTTGTTCTTCGCAGCTCAGAACGGACAGTTGGAGGTTGTACGGCTTCTGCTGGAGGCCAATGCAGACAAGGACAAGGCCGACGAGGATGGCACCACCCCTTTGTTCATATCAGCTCAGGTAGGACAGTTGGAGGTTGTACGGCTTCTGCTGGAGGCCAATGCGGACCAGGACAAGGCCGATGAGGATGGCGCCACCCCTTTGTTCTTCGCAGCTCAGAACGGACAGTTGGAGGTGGTACGCCTTCTGCTGGAGGCCAATGCGGACAAGGACAAGGCCGATGAGGATGGCGGCACCCCTTTGTTCTTCGCAGCTCTCAACGGACAGTTGGAGGTTGTACGGCTTCTGCTGGAGGCCAATGCAGACAAGGACAAGGCCGACGAGGATGGCACCACCCCTTTGTTCATATCAGCTCAGGTAGGACAGTTGGAGGTTGTACGGCTTCTGCTGGAGGCCAATGCGGACCAGGACAAGGCCGATGAGGATGGCGCCACCCCTTTGTTCTTCGCAGCTCAGAACGGACAGTTGGAGGTGGTACGGCTGGATGCTGAGGATGGCCACCTTTGTTCTTCGCAGCTCTCAACGGACACGGACAATGTTGGAGGTGGTACGGCTTCTGCTGGAGGCCAATGCGGACAAGGACAAGGCCGATGAGGATGGCGCCACCCCTTTGTTCTTCGCAGCTCAGAACGGACAGTTGGAGGTGGTACGGCTTCTGCTGGAGGCCAATGCGGACAAGGACAAGGCCGATGAGGATGGCGCCACCCCTTTGTTCTTCGCAGCTCAGAACGGACAGTTGGAGGTGGTACGGCTTCTGCTGGAGGCCAATGCGGACAAGGACAAGGCCGATGAGGATGGCGCCACCCCTTTGTTCTTCGCAGCTCAGAACGGACAGTTGGAGGTGGTACGGCTTCTGCTGGAGGCCAATGCGGACAAGGACAAGGCCGATGAGGATGGCGGTTCACTCCGGACTTTGTTCTGCTGGAGGCCAATGCGGACAAGGACTGAGGATGGCGGCAAGCTCGGAACGGACATTTTAAGGTTGTACGCCATTTGCTGGAGGCCAATGCGGACAAGGACAAGGCCGATAAGAATGGCGCCACGCCTTTGTTCATCGCAGCTCAGAATGGACACTTGGAGGTTGTACGTCTTCTGCAGGAGGCCAATGCCGGACGGGGACCGGGCCACGAATGATGGCAGCGCACCCTTTTGTTTGTTAGAATCCAGAATGGGCACTTGGAGCTGGCACGCCTCAACCCTAAACTCTAAACCCTAACCCCTGAACCCAAGCCCCACATCCTCAAACCTGATTGGAGCCTTTCAGGTGGATGAGCTTCGCAAAGCGGCGCTGCTGCTGCTCTCCTCGATTTCAGGGGTTTTGTAGAAACTCTGTAGCCTGAGCATTCATGCAGTATTTGAATGCTGTTTTAAACTTGGTGTTTGTAGGGGTGTGTATGGTTTTGACGGATCGTGGCGGGGTTTAGGTTTTGTGGTGGTCATTCGACTAGGAGTTTGCAGGGGCTACAGCCCTAGGGCGCTAAGCCCTAAAGCCCTAAGCTCCCAAGCCCTAAATCCTTGAAGCCTAAACCCTGAAGCCCCAAAGCCCTAACCCCGAAAGTCTTAAACCCCTAAACTTGCTTCTCTGTGGCTATGGGCAAAGATCAGTCGAGAGGCTTGTAGTTAGCTGATTTTTTCCAAGGATTTAGGGATTTGGGTTTTGAGATCTGAAGCTTGGGTTTAGGATTATTGAAACCCGAGACCGTCGACCTTAAACGCTAAACCCCTATACACCTTAAAACCCCCAAACCCTAAACCCCTAAACCCTTAAACCCCGAAACCCATATGGGGGTTTCCGAAAATAGGGGACCCTAATATAGTACCCCAAATAGTAGGATCCTGATTATAAGGACCCCGAAATAAGGTACCCCTAATTTTCGGAAACTCCCATATAGCTGCTTAGCGACTGTGGGTTCGTGATTGATGGGCAAGTGGAGCTGCCTTTAGGGATTTAGGGGTTTGGAGGTTTAGCGTTTAGGGGTTTAGGGATTAGGGATAAGAGACTAGGGTTTAGTGTTGTTGAGATGCTCTTATCAATTCTTGACCTTGTTTTTAATACACCTCTCTTAAGGGACGATTCCGCATTTGTTTTTTCGCTCCCAAGGCAGCTTTCGGCGGTAATGTGGTGTAGCTGTACCGGTTCCCATGAGGGGGTACCTGTGGCCGCAAAGCCACAAATTCGTGGGTTATGAGGGTTTAGGGGTTAGGGCTTGGAGTTATGATCCCTTCATCTGTTTGTATAGGTACAGCACCGAACAAAGGAGGTTTTGGAATCTCCCGGTATGCATGAGGACCTTGCAAAGCCATCCTCCCAATCTCCAGGCTTACCGGCTTACGCTGCAACTGCTTAGAGTTTAGGGTTTAGCTTAAACCGTAAACCTCAAACCCTAAACCCTAAATCCCTGAACTAAACCTCTAAATCCTAAACCCTACAACCCTAGACCCCTAAACCCTAAACCCTACTACCGAAATGCCCAAAGCAAGCCAGGAAAGCGAGGAAGGCGCAGGACGGAGGGCCGCTAGGGCTTGGGGCTTTCGATTTCGGGAGTTTGGAGCTTGAGAGTTTAGGGGTTTAGGGTTTAGTGGTTTAGGGTTTAGGGGTTTGGGGTTCAGGGGTTTAAGGGGTTTAGGGATTTGGGCGATTTTGGAGTTAGGCTTCGCCTGCGGCCTCAGTCGTAGAACAGCCAGGCCTTCCAAAATTCCTTGATCGACGAATATACCTTAATTCATAAATATAGGATCCTATTATACTTGAGGGCATATTGCTTGATTAAACGATTGGAAGGTCTCGGTACTTTTTGGATGGATCCGTTCGGGGGTTGGGTCCTTGCTGGCATTTGGGTGACATGTGGCCCGCCTAACCCCAAGGTGCCTCCGGAGGTGCGCAATTGCTTAAACAGCCGAAGCAGGTGCTGGGAGAGGCAAAACCCTTAAAATATAAGCCAGAAAGTTGGAATATGATTACCCTAAACCGTTTATGGTAAATTATAAGGTATCCTACCCTGAAACCATATTGCAACTTTCTGGAGTTCCCTTTACTTACCACATCTCTGCAGGCACGCTGTCAATTATCAACCCCTTTGGGTTAGATCCATTGGGAGCTCTAAACCCAGACGACCTTCCAATATCCCTTGGTTGAGGAGTATACCTTAAATCATGTTTGGAATTCCCACAGAGCCCAACACTCCTTAATTAAGGAATACGGCTTAAAATTAAAAGGGGCTTCATATTGTGATTTAAGCTATATTCCTTAATTAAGGGGTATTGGGCTCTCTGGGTCCTATACTATAGAAAGATCAGGGATATTGGAAAGTAAACCCTAAACCCTGAACCCCTACTATAGAAAGATCAGGGATATTGGAAAGTAAACCCTAAACCCTGAACCTTTGAAGGAGAAGTTGGCTGGCGACTTCAAGACCGCCAAGGAAGCGCAGGACGTTTGGGGTTGGGGTGCAGGGTTTAGGGGTTTGGGGTTTATGGTTTACTAGGGTTTATGGTTTAGGGGTTTAGGGTCTAGGGTTTAGGGGTTTAGGGTTGAGGGGTTTAGGGTTTAGGATGTAGGATGTAGGACTTTGTACGCAAGAGTTCTAGAGGGGCTCCTAGAAGGGTCTCCGTAAGGTCTTCTGATGGGTTTGGGTTTTTAAGCCTACCTTGTTAAGGACTTACATATAGAGAAGCTATACTAATGGATTCTGAAAAGGTAGGTTATCTGGGGTCCAGTTAAGGGTTTTAAAGGATAGCCCTACTTAGATGATCATGCGACTTAGTAAGTACGGCTTCCTTAATAGGGTTCCTTCAACGGGGCTCCTTCAAGCAATCTTCAAGGGTTCTAGAAGGGCGGATCATGGGACTTTGTAAGTACGGCTATCAGAGTTATGAGTACCCTAGTTGGGGTTATAAGTAATTATCAGGATAGTTGCCTTGTTGATAGCTTGGCTTACTCAGTCCCATGATCCTCCAAGGTAGGGTTTAGGCCTTGCATTTCTGGGCATTTGAGGGGCATTGTAGGGGCATTGACAATGTCAAACAGGTTATCAGTACACGGTTAGCCTTTCAGCACACGCGGCGTACAAGGAGACAGTATTGAACCCGTATAGGGCCCACATCAAAGTTCATTGAAGCTCTATATGTGATGTTTCTCTAGGATGCCCAGTAGTACCCTTATTCCCTTTTTGTAGTCCTAGGTTCCTTATAAAGTTACCCAAAACCAAAAAGAGAGGCCTTTTTATTCTTAGGTTACTGGGTATCCTAGTTCTAGGAATACACAAGGGCTTGTACTCCTTAACGGTGTTGATTTTAGGGAGCTTACGAACTGGACTTCCTACATTCTGAACTTCAAACCCTGAACCCGTGATTTTACATTTTGTTAGCTCTCAACTCTCAACCTTCAACCCAAAAGCTTGGACCTCGACCCGAAATCAGACCCCCTGGAGGACCTAGAAAGTAGATCCCCTAGTTTGGGGCCCTATACTACTAAGGGTACGTTTCTGGAACCCCCATTAAGGGATCTACTTGTTGGATCCTCCTGGGGGTCTGGGAAATCATTGAATCCTAAATGTGAACGCCCAAATCGGAATGTTCACACAGACACCGAAACATGAGTTTTTCACTTGAGGGTAGGCGTGAAGATTCACGGAACATTGAACCTTAAGACTAACCCGTAAAACCCATCTTAGTATAATACTTAATACTAGATTAACCGTAGTGATTAGTGGTAATTAGCATATCAATAGCAACAGCTGACGTCGCAAGGATTTCGGGGGTCCCATCCTCGCTGCCCAGTGGAGGGCGGCCGTGAAGGAGGTGGCGACGCCCGGCTGCAAAATGGTTTCTTTCTTGAGAGATGAGGGTTCAGGGCTTCAGGGTTTACGGGTTTCAGGGTTTGAGGGTTGAAGCGCTTAAGGGGCTTCGAGTTTTTGGGTGCAGTGTTTAGGGTCTTGGGTCGTTACTTTTTTGATCCTACGTTCTACTCACGGCCTATGCCTCGCGAGGTTATTAGTATCAGAAACATCGATCTGCCTGGAGTGTTCCGGAGTTTTATAGCAGGTGTCCGTACCCTGAAAGCTCAAGCGACACACAAAGTAGGCGGCAGGGTACCTTGTTTGGGCCTCATTCTTTGTAAAAGCTATGCTGGCTTGAAAACCTCAACCCTCAACCCCGAAAACCCTAAACCCCAACCCTCTAGACCCTAAGCCTTAGACCCTAAACCCCTAAGCCCTAAACCTGAGAGACCCTAGACCTCTTATCAGAGGTTCAGAGCTTGGGGTCCGCGAGTTCTTGTCAACTCTTGTCTTGTGACTTAGTAAATCGACTTGGTATCCGTAAGAGCCCGATACTTGGAGGCCCTGTTGACTTAGTAAGTAGGGTTAGTTTAAGGTGGATTATGGGGATTATAACAGGGTTTCTAGTAAATACTAAGTAGACTTACTAAGTCAAAAGGGCCTCCAAGTAAGCATGCCCATTGTCCATCTCCCCCCTCTCACTACTAGTAGTCGCCGTTGCTGAGCTAAAAGAGCTTGCAGGTCAGAGGCTTACAGGTTCAGGGTTTAGGTATCGTTTTGTTTTCAATCTTCAAGCGCAGAAGCAAGAATACTCCCAATGCCGGCAACAGTGGCTATCCCAAAGGCTATCCCAAAGGATTCAACAGGGTTTCTGCACGCGCATGGTATGGCAAGTACGCTTTCATCCCGTAGGGTTTGATTATATAGTCAATCAGTTATATTATATGGGTGTTTGTCTTTGGATCCTTATTACAGTATGCCACCTAATATTTACAGAATAGTACGCCGACTCAATATTTAGGGTCCCCAAAAAAGGACCATAATTTTGACAACCACCCATATATAGTTTACAAAAATAGAAACAAATGGAAATTTGTATTTATAGTGTGTGTTTAGACATTTTCGCATAGTTATTATGTAGCGCAAAGAAAACTAGCGATGCGGAGGTTTGAGCTGTGCCGCAGGACTGTTCATCTGACTCTGGAGGCAAAAAAATCGCACATCACTACCCAGACCCCCCGGAGGATCCAACAAGTAGATCCCTTAAGGGGGGTTCCTATACAGTAACCTTAATAGTATAGGACCCCAAATTGGGGGATCTGCTTTCTAGATCCTCCCGGGGGGTTTGGGTACTTAACCTTGAACCAACACAGCGTAAAGCCCACCTAGGTTCCCCAGTAGTACACTGCTGACCTTGTATTTCGGGGTCTCCTTATCAAGCCCGAATACTCGGGACAAAGGGCTCCCTGACTATGAAAGGGCTACTGGGGAACTTAGCCGTGAAGCCGTGAAGCCCAACCCTAAACCCTTTTTGCCCTGAATGCGTACTAATCCCTGAACCCTAAACCCTGAACTGAACCCTAAAGCCGTAACCCTTAAACCCTACAACCCTCACGTTGTAAAGGCCCTAAAGGCCCTAAATCCTAAACCGTCCCAGGAAGCCCTTCGTGATGCCAGAGTGTCCGGAGAGTTGATGGCCTTCAGGTTTGGAGCCTCAAACCCTATGCCCTCATCCCAAATAACCTACCTTGTTAACATAAAGGGTTCCTTAAAGGGATTTATAGGGTTCCTTTAAGGGATCTATAGGAACATATATGAGCCTCAAAGCCTATGCCCTGTTTCTTAGAGGAGGGTTCCTCAAAGGGCTCCGTACAAGGGATCTATAGGGTTCCTTAAAGGGATCTGTAGGGTTTAGGGTTTAGGGTCTATATGCCCTACCTTTTAAAGACTTATAGAAGGAACTCAAAATAAGGACGGTCGGTGGTACGTTTGATGGTATAAATCCTGCATTACCCATAGTAAAGAACATACCATACTTCCCATAGTTTAAGGTAAAGCAGGATTTATGTTATCAACCGTATAGGTTTCGCCCTGACCCTGGTGAAGTTTAGGGTCTCGGGTTGAGGGGTTTGCAGTAAAACACCGCTTTCGCGCACGGGCCTTGACCTTCTAATCGTTGCTATAAGCCCCTTTGAGGGTAGGGGTGTTTGGTCTACATTGCCCCAAGCCTAGTGGAATTTGTTCAATGCTGGGAGCTTCAGGGGGTTGTGCTTTCGGGCTTGGATATACGGAGTTGGGGGCTTTATAGTTCTGGGTCTCAGCCCCAACCTACCCAAACCATTCCACGGATCGCCCAAAACCAACGATCCTAACCAAGATAGCCTACTTTTGCTTGGCTTAAGCCTGACAGGCTTTTAAAGGTCAGGGATTCAATTTTCAGTTACATTAACCTTCTGAGTAGTGAAAGAGCTTAATTAACAACTCAATAGGGGTTGGCGCCTACGAGCCCTGAGCCACAAGCCTATTCCTCCAAACCCGTAACCGCGAATGGGGGCACAGACGGCGGGCCCCTTGTCTGTAGACAGACTATAGCAGAATGCTCGTGTCTCTCTAAGAGAGGTGGCGAGCATCCACATCGGGTTCGCCCCTTTGCCCTGGTTCTCTGTAAGGATTTGGATCTTGGTGTCTGTAGACTAAGACAACACAGGCCCTGCTCCCAAAGTGATTAGGTTGAGGACTCTTAGGATCCCTAATATGGTGAAAGTGGAGGGATATACCACTATATTATAGTAGGATCCCTCATATGGTTTGGGATATACTCCGTAATCAAGGGATACTGGAAGTTCTGGGGGGCTGGGGTGTTGGGTTGTTCTCGAGCGCTTCCTAACTGAGAACCGGGGACTCGCCTGCTCACGTAGAGGAGGGATGAAGCCTTATCTGGAGACTTGAGGAGGATCATGGGACTTAGTAAGTAGGGTTATAAGTGCCTTAGTTGGGGTTATAAGTAGTTATAAATATAGTTACCTTGTTTATAACCCCACTTACTAAGTGCCATGATCCTTCAAGTAGGGCTAGGGTTTAGGGTTTTAGGTTTAGGGCACCCTTTTGCCCGTCGTGTTTTAGGGGTCCCCTTATTAAAACCGAATAGTAGGGAAACAAAGGGTACTCTTATGTCAAAGGGGCTTACTCAGGAACCTATAGGTAAGGAAGGGTGAGTACTTCAAACGGCATATAAGACATAATTACAGATTGCCGGTGTAACCCTGCTTTCTAAGTCCCCTGTTCCTACAAGCCTACAAGTCTTCGCAGAGGGAGGCTGGGTCGTGGGTTTTTGGGTTTAGGAGTTCAGGGCTATAGAAATAAGGTCGCGTGACTAACCAAACTCGAAAAGTTTGAACCTGAAGCCCTAAACCCTAAACCCTAAACCCTAAACCCCTAAACCCCTAAACCCTCAACCCTCAACCCTAAACCCCTAAACCCTATAAACCCTAAACCCCAAAACCCCCGAAACCCCTGACCCCTACACCCTAAACCCCTAAAGCCCTAAACCTTACACCCTAAACCCTAACCCCTAAACCCTATAAACCCTGAACCCCGTAAACCCTACCCCACACCCTAAACCCTAAAGCCCTAAACCCTAAGCCCAGCCTCAACCTTCGGACCGCCGCAGGGTTCATGCGAAAGAGGAGCCCCGACCCAGCTCCTGCTCTGATTTAGCACTCCCCTCCCGGGCAACCCGGGCTAAGGAGAGTGCACCGCCGACCTATATTCCGGAGCATCACGTAGGGAGGGTTCAGAACATCGGGGGTTTAGGCGATTTTGTATGTGAGGGAGGGTATTTATATCAGGGATTTTGGTGAGTTGAGGTAGAGTGCCGTTTTCATACGCGACGTGTTTTCGCCTTTTTAGTCTCGTTATTACTAGTGTTTTGGTATTCACTTGTGTTAGTTTGCCTATAGGTTTCCTAAGTAAACCCTGAACCTAACCCCTAAAGCCCCCCAGACCCTTAAACCCCTAAGCCCCTGAACCCCTAAACCCCTAAACCTCTAAACCCCTAAACCCCTAACCCTAGCTCGCTTTGCGTAGCATTCTGTCGTGGCTGCTTTCAGGACTGGGAGTCGGAGGCTCCTTTACATGACCCTACATCCCCAAAGCCCTGAAAATGAAAACCCTCCAGACCCTAAGCTCTAAACCCCAAACCCGTAAGGCCCTCAACCCTAAGGCCCTCAAGCTGAGGTTTAGAGGAACCGGCTCCTACATCACAGGCTTGGTATGCTCGTTTCTCGAGTTGCGAATCAGCTCCTTTCTGTTTGCATCAGCTTGTCTCACATACATTTGCTTTCATACTAGTCTAGCCTGTTTGTTCCAATAGGTTTCGCAGCTGTGGTCCAGATTACGGGTGGAAGTATAAATCCCTTGAGCCCAAAACCCTAAACCCCAAAGTCAAACTCCAAACCCCCAAACCTCAAACCCTTAAGCCTAAACCCCAGACGCTAGACCCTAAAAGTAAGCCAAAATTGGGTTCGGAATCCGGTCCCGATTTGGTGAGTTTGATTGGGGTTGCTTTAAAAGGCTTCCTTAATCAAGGTTCCTTTCAAAGGCTTCCTGTGATAGGGTCCCTTTACAGGGCTTCCTTCGAAAGGGTTCCCTTAAGGGCTCCTTTAGGGAACCTGAGGCTACAGGGCTCCAGACGGTTTAATTCAATGGCTCTAGGGTTGTTCTACATTCTACAGTAGATGGTAGATTTAAACCCTAAACCCTAAACTGAGCAGATTAGAGGCTTCCAGCAAGTACGTAAGTCGTAAGTAAGACCCTACTCTAAAACCTAAATAATTACCGATACTATTTTGGGGGTTCCTTATTATGATTATAGTAGAATGGGCCCCAAAACCCGATTCCAATTATCAAGGCCCCTGTGTCAAGTAGGACCCTAGATTGAAACCTGAACCCTTCCGCGATGCTCGAGGGCTTCCAACAGCAAAAGTTGGGAATTCGGAGCCTGCGCAGCAGAACCCCCTCAACCCTGCACCCTAAATCCCCGGTATGGCACTTGAACGACTTGAACCCTAAACCCTAAACCCTACGAGTATGGGACTTGATGAAACGGGCTTAAGTAGGCTTTCAGTAACCGGGTTCGAGGTCATAGGCTTTTTCTGGCTGCTAGTTCCCCTTTGCTTAGGATGAAGGAGCTTAGGGCTTATATAGGGTTTTGGGGGGTGTTCAGGGCCTTGATCAAGCGCAAAAAGGCCCTAAACCCTAAACCCCTACCCCCTAAAGCCGTTAAGGGGAGTTTAGGATACCCCTTAAAGCCGTTAAGGGGAGTTTAGGGTGTGGAGTTTAGATCCCAAGAGCAGACCGCAACTCCCAACCCGACATTGCCCAAAATCGTAGATGCCTCGACTCCACCAGGGTTTATAGTGAACCCCAGAAAGTTGGAACATGGGTTTAGGATGATTACTGCTAGGTTTCCCTCTTCTTTACCTTAAGGGAATGAGGACAATGATGTTCCAACTTTCTGGCTTCCCTACTCCCCTACTCCCCTAAACCCTCAACCCTACTTCCCTAAACCCCTAAACCCTAAACCCTTAAACCCTAAACCCTACTCCCCTAAACCCTAAACCTCTAGACCCTAAACCCCTAAACCCTAAACCCTACTCCCCTAAACCCCTAAACCCTAAACCCTACTCCCCTAAACCCTAAACCCCTAAACCCTAAACCCTACTCCCCTAAACCCTACTCCCCTGAACCCTAAACCCCTAAACCCTAAACCCTACTCCCCTAAACCCTACTCCCCTAAACCCTAAACCCCTAAACCCTAAACCCTACTCCCCTAAACCCTACTCCCCTGAACCCTAAACCCCTAAACCCTACTCCCCTAAACCCCTAAACCCTACTCCCCTAAACCCCTAAACCCTAAACCCTACTCCCCTAAACCCCTAAACCCTAAACCCTACCCCCCTAAACCCTAAAACCCTTAAACCTAAACCCCTAAACCCTAAACCCCTAAACCCTAAACCCAAGACCCTGTGTCGCACGTTGCGGGGGTTTGAGTCTTCAGGGTGCCAGGGCTCAGGGAGTCAGGGGATTTGAGGATTTAAGGACTCAGGGCCTGGTGGTTTCGGGATATAGAGATTTAGGGATTTACGGATCTTATAGAACCTAGAGATTTAGGGAAAGGATTTAGGGCCTGGAGATTTAGGGATTTCGAGATTTTTTCAGTGATTCAAGGATTTAAGGTCCGGCGGTTTCGGGATTTCGAGATTTAGGGATTTGGGGATTTAAGGTGTAGGGTGTCGGGTTTTCGCACTTTTGCTAGGTCTCCGCGAAACCCTTTTTTCTCTTTTCGCTGTCTTAAATTACCCAATACCAAAAAGGGAGCCCTGTTCATGCTCCTTGGAAATGGGGATCTTCAGATAGTCAAGTGAGACAGGCATGGGTTGATTCATCACGGATCTGCATTAATCAGCACTTACCGAGGATTTCATGCTTGAAACTGTATTTTATTTGGGGCTTGGGCTTAGTGTTTAACCTTTGCAGTCCTTCTGCATGCCAGTGCTCTTGCATGGCGCGCCTCCTCAGCACAAGCTTTTGGCGAGGCCCCACGAAAGCACGACGGTGTCAGGCAGAAACCATGGACCTTATTCGATTCCTCTACCGTAGTTCTATTCGTAAGTACGGCTGCCAAATTTTGGAA